CTCACTGTCCACTCTGACTGTTAACAACAACAATAACAAAAAACTTGTACCCAGGTATTTTGCTGTCTGGTGGGGTTTGGCATGATTTTTGACATGAAACTTTGGAAAGATCTGATGGTTTCATAAAGAAAATAGTAATCTGTCTTATGATTTTCATGTTTGAGTAGGCTCCCATATTCAGTGTTTGTCGTGCTGTGATTTTTGGTGGGGATTATCAGAGAGCTGTATGTTGGCTTCCCTGTAGTTCTGGGCGTCATTCATGGGCACAGTTGCCCCAGGTTGTTCACATGTGAGTGATGCTGAGGGAATGGGATGTTGTGTTCCCTGTCCTGCATCATAGCCTGAAGGCCCTTGCCTGCATCTGGGTGAGCAGAGGCTTTGTGTAATTCTCTGTCATGCATTTGTGGATACCAGCTGTGTGATACAGTCTCATTGACATATTCAGCAAATGGCAGGCTTTGTAAAAGACATCGGAGATCTAGAGATCTGTGTGAGAACTTGATTGGGCATAGCAGAAGTTCTGTACTGTGCCTTTAAACAGAAGCTATGCAGGTTAAAGGTTGCAGGGCCAAAACACTTGGGCTTTGGAATCCCAAAAGAAGCTCCCTGAGTACAGAGCTAGAGAGAGCATGCCTTTTTGTGTGAATTGTCTTTAGAACAGTGTTTTTTCCTTGTCTGAATTTGCATTTTAGGTAGGACTTTTTGGGGTATGTTTCCTGTTGGGGGTTTATTGTGTAACTGATTGATCTTGGGGTTTGCCAGGTAAAAGACAATCTATTCTCATTTTTTTAGCAGCTCACTCTCATGTAAAGAAGGATTGAGATGGGAAACTTGGAAACTTGTTTAAAAGATAGATAGATCCATTCTAAATATATATTCACTCGTACATTTTGGTGCAGAAATTTGGCCAAGATGTTTATGTTAACTCTATGAGCTCATAGAGGTAAGAGTGAACAGTGGATTGTTCAGCCATCACTGAGTAGATGTTTAGGTCTATAAAGAGGGGACACCAGCAGGGGGGAAGATGATTGATTAGCTCAGAATACTGCCCAGTCCTCTTGGATTCCAGGTGCCCTTTTCTGAAGTTTGTCTGTCTCTCCTCACGTAGTTACTATGCATCATTGGGCTGAGAGAGGATTTATAGCAAGTTTAAACAGCATTTTCAGTGGGCATTAAAAACAAACAACAAAGCACTGATGAGATGCACGCCTGTGTGCCCACATGGTGGAGTGCAGGGCTTGTCATATGACTCATTTACACACCCATTGCTGCCTGTGATGGTCAGCTCTGTGCAGATGTTCTCCCCTCCCCCACCCTCTGACAGCCAAAGATGCGACTAAAACTCACTGAGACAAAGACCTTTTCTATGGAAGTTTGCTCCCCCTGGTTGGAGTCCAGAATGCTAATTGGCATCAGCTGCATTAAATCACCAAGTACAGGGCTAGCAGCTGCCTCACTATTGGAGAAAACCAGGAGGGAGCCTTCCCTTTCTTATAGAAATGGCCACTCTCTCCTTTCAAGTTACCCTTATTAGTACTTTTTTCGTCTGTATGGTTGTGGTTTCCTAAAGAAGGGCGTGGAGGGCACATTAGTTTGGATTGGGCTTGGACGCATGAGGTATATAAACTTCCTCCAGGTAGTTTTGCCAGTTCCACTTTCTTCTCACAAGTGGGCTTGTTGTTGTATTTCAGTTCCTGTTCTAGCTGGCTTCACATCTGTTTTCTGCTGTATGTCCTCAGCCCTAATGATGTCTGTTTCAGATGGTGGCAGCGATGTTGGTAGTGTATGTACACATATTTAAGTGTTGGAGTGAAACCCCAAACTTGTTTTTAAACAATGACCAAAGGCAGATTGGAACTCAGAAGTTGATTCATTATTACTGTACTCTAAAGACAACATGAAGTATTGTATAATAAGCATTAGTCATAATTAGGATTCCAGTTACAGTTGGCTCAAAGCCATTGGCAGATTCTGTATTTCTAATGCTTTTTCTCCAAGGTGGGCACCCATAATTAGATATTTAGTGACATTTAGTGGTGTTAAATGCCCTGTTATTGTATAAGATGTGTGGTAGTGATCTATTTTAAAATCATGAAAACAAGCTTTATATATAAAGTTCATCCTAAAATTTGAGAGGTTTCCTCTAAATATTTTTTCTTTAAGATTTATTTGAAAATCAGAGTTACAGAGAGAGAAGGAGAGGCAGAGAGAAAAGGAGAGAGGTCTTCCATCTGCTAGTTCACTGCCCAGTTGGCCACAGTGGCTGGAGCTGCACTGATCTGAAGCCAGGAGCCAGGAGCTTCTTCCAGGTCTCCCATGCAGGTGCAGGGCCCCAAGGACTTGGGCCATCTTCTACTGCTTTCCCAGGCCATAGCAGAGAGCTGGATTGGAAGTGCAGCAGCTGGAACTTGAACCAGTGGCCATATGGGATGCTGGCACTGGAGATGGCGGCTTTACCCACTACGCCACAGCATTGGCCTCATCAGTATTTCTTCCAGTTTAGTTTCATATGCTTTTAGGATTTATCTAAGACATGTAAAATACTCTGATCACTGTATTTCTGTATGTTTGGGCATTTCAGTCATATTAGAAAAGCTGTCGCCAGATTTGATTGTGTCTAAAGGTGCCTGTATACTGCACTGATTATAAATGCAGCACAGTTTTGAAGATGTTACAATGGATGTCTTATGGTTGATGCTGGTCACTGTTTCATTCCGTAAAATATTGTGTTATCTCTATCCAGGAGCATTGTCTAATCAGAGAAATACAGTGTGCCACGGCAGTCTACCAACAGTGTTTAAGAACTTTAAAATGTGTGCTTGATTTTCCACTCACTAGATTGTGAAAATATCAAGTGCTTATGGAAGGTCTTAATTCTTATTACAGAGTGGTAAACAAATTAGATGCCAGAAAACATAGGTTTGTTTTGAAACTAAAAGGAAAGACTAACACATCAAAACTAGTTCCAACTTGTCTGAGCCAGGAGCTCAGGCCAGGTCTCCCACGTGTGGCAAGTGTTAGGAGGTGACCCTTGGCAAGGCTTAATCTAAGTTTTTATCTCCATCATAAGAAGGAATTCAAAGAAGAGATAGAGAAGAGTGAACAGACATAAGATTGGTTTAAAGCAAAAGTACACTCGAGGGATGATTGTGGGCAGGCTCTGCAGAGAATGCAGTGCCAGCAAGGTTCAGGCCATCCTTCTACATGATCTGGAGGCACAGGAAGTGGTGTCTGGAGTGGGGCTTAACTACAGATTCAAAGGGGAAAAGTTTGTGGTGAAGATTGAGTATCACCCATTTCCTTGCCATTTGGGGGAAATCTCAGAAGTCACAGGGTTGGGTGCATAATGGGAGTGATGGCAATTTATTATACTGACATGATGATGACCTAAAGATCACCTGGTGGACACAGCCTACAGCCATATAGAATATTTTCAGCTGACACTGGTTCTAAGTTGCAATATCGTAGAGCATGTGGTCTTCTGCTACATGGGAGGGGGATTTGGGCAGTGCACAGAATGGGGATTTGAGGCAGTGTGTGGAGAGGGGATTGGGTGGGCAGCACAGGCTAGGCTGTTTATGTGGGCTGGCCCAGGCTGTCACTGTCAAACCTCAACTCATTTGCTAGTGCCACCTCCCTGTTTATATCAGCAGAGACCTAACTACCTGAGCTATTATTGCCACCTCCCATGGTCTGCATTAGCAGGAAGCTGGAGTTGGAAGCCAGGCACTCCAGTGTGGGACATAGACATCTTAACTGACTTCTTACCTGCCAGGCCAAACACACACTCCAGAAATTTCTTTTTACTGAACTTCCTTTAGGTCTGTAAACCATTGAGACTAGTTGTGTAGTTGTTAGGCTACAACACTGGGCTTTTCAGAGGTGTGTATGTGCATGTGTTCTCTCCTGACTGTAACACACACTCTACTAATCAGAAACCCTGAGTTGCCCTGGAGAGAGGAGAACCGCAGTTACAAGTGGAAAGAGGGCGGTGTCAATGTAGAAAAGTGGGGAAGTTCCTTAAACAGGATGTCACGGTAGGATCTAGAGAGCGCATCCTGAGCTCTTTCTTAAAGCGCTTGTACTGTTTTCCTACCCAAAGCTGGTTTTCTCTTTTCCTGTCTATTCTCTTGTTTCTCATTTTAATTCTGTTTCCCCCTCGTTCTCATGCCACCTGCAAACCTTCCTTAATCTGATGCGGACAGTCTGTCGTGGGTGGACAACAAGGAACGGAATGCACACCTGGGATGGTGCAGTTTCTGTGCTGGGCCTGTGTGAGCGAATGGCAGAGACCGCAGCCTTCTGAGCCCCTGTCATTCATAGAGCAGCTTCTTTGTTTTCTAGCCCTATGTTGCCACCTGTTCACTCTCCCATCTTCTCACACAAGCCCTGCATCTGTTCCTCTGCTTATCGCGCTTTAATAAAGCAGGGGGCTAGGGGAACAGCCTGCCGAGTGAGGTGTTGTTTCTGGGGCCAGCTGACCCTCTTTCTGGCTTGGCATAGTCTCACTAAGCACACCACTGGGGGACCACACTGTTGGCCTGTACTCACATATTCAGTGAGCTGCCTGCAGCCTTGCAAGCTTTTGGGGCCAGGTGATTTGTATTAAAAAATGTTTTCTAGAAAGGAAATAGCCTTTCCAAGTAATTAGTTAAAATACTATTAGTTCCTCTTTTTGGCCCCAGTTGAGCAAATTGATAAGCAGATTGAAACCATGAGGCCACATTTCAGGTGGAAGAGCAGGGCTGGCCCTGTGCCTGCTGCTTCTCATGTTCCTCTTCACTTTCACACTTCATGTCGTTCCTGCCATAGGTTATAGTCACGTTGCCAAGGTCGAGGCCTCTTAGGTCTCCTCTTGGCACAAGGATAAAGTGAATGTATACCCTCCACCCTTCCCCTTCTGGAGGGATGGGGCTTGTGTTTTTAGGTTATTGGGTATATGTGGCAAAAGTAAAATGATGCATGTCATTCAAATGCCATGGCTTTTCTTTTTTCTTAAGGATGAAGAGGAAGAAATCAAACTGGAGATAAATATGCTGAAGAAATACTCTCATCATAGAAATATTGCAACATACTACGGTGCTTTCATTAAAAAGAGCCCTCCAGGACACGATGACCAACTCTGGGTAGGTGAATGTTTCCTGAGGATTTTGTTAACATTCTTCTTGGACTGTGTGATAAGGATACTAAGGACTTTCTAGGGGGTAGGAGCAAAAACACAGAAGGGGCTGTAGCTGAGAAATTCTGTAGGCTTCCTCAGCCTGTTTATTTAGCTAGTTGATTTCACATTACATGGCGAAAGGTTAACTTTGTGTTTCAGGAATAAAATAGCACTTTTGAGAAGCAATCTGACCAAATAATAAGGATATTAGGAGCTTTACAGCAATACTATAGAAACTTTATTTATGGGAACCAGTTACTATGAAAGCCCAGTAAAATTACATCTTTCTTTACCACCAAAAAACTGAGCAGCAGATCTGATGAAAATAAATGTCAGCATCTTTAATAATATTAATTTTCATAGTTGATTAACAACTGTAAATTCCAGGAAGTGTTCTGGGATTGAAGTATTCAACATGTCATTGAACACATATATGTTCAAGGTGATGATGATAAAGTAGTATCAGTTCTGTGGTTATCACATTAGTTATGTTAAAGCCATTCCACTTATAAAGCAGGAAAAGAGGTTAGTACTTCATCTAATTTTTTTAAAAGGCCGTTCTATAAAATGTAATTTCTTATAAAATTTAAAAAGCAGAAGGAGAAAAATTACTGTCATTTCCATTGCCCAAATCTAGGTGTGGTTAAAATTTTAGGATAGTTCAACTCAGGACATTTTCTAGGGATTTAAGAATATAGTTGTTATCAAACATTTAAAAACATATATAACCGCTTAAAATAGCATTTCTCTTTTGTATTACCAGTTAATATACTGCTCAATTTAGTTAATATAAATAGTTTGAGAATCCTAAGTTACGAAAAACAGGACGTTTGAGGCAGAATGAGAGCAAACGTTAGGAGTGTTTGACTCAGTTACAGTTGTGCCATGGTGAAGAACAGAACTGTTCCGCCATGCTTGCGTGCGTTGGGGAGAGAAGGGCCCTTGAGCGCTGCTGTGCTGGCTCTTTGCAGAATGCCAGGCACTTTCAGGGCCCAGAGCAGAACACACAGAGGGGGCGCTGGGCAGCGAAATGAGCTCTCAGCACTTGGATGCCTCCTCCAGAGTGATCTCACTCGCAGGTCTGCAGGAAAGGGGTCGGGGGCTCCACGGGGTTTCCTGACTTTTCTCAGAGTGCACTGGAGTCTGGGACATGATAGTCACAGTGTGTCTTGTCTGCTCCTTAGCTTGTTATGGAGTTCTGTGGGGCTGGGTCCATCACAGACCTCGTGAAGAACACCAAAGGGAACACGCTCAAAGAAGACTGGATCGCGTACATCTCCAGAGAGATCCTGAGGGTAAGGAGAGTGCAACATGTGCGCCGCAGGGTCCCAGTGCTGCTCCTGGGTGTCCATCTCATTCTCCCAGACTCAGGAAATCCTTTGCACTAGGGACACTCTTGCAGATTATTCTGTTTTTGACAATCAAAGGCTCTGTGTAGCTAACTAGCTTCGGTAGTTTCAACTACATCGTGTTTTGACTTTGCTAAGTATCTGAAGAAGGTAGACTTACGCTACAGCTGGCCCTCCGTGAACTGAAAATATTTTTTAAAAATTGCACCTGTCCTGAACATGTACTAACTTTTTCTTGTCATTATTCCCATAACAATAGAGTAGAACACCTCTATTTGTAGTATTTACATGGCATTAAGTAGTAGAAGCAATCTAGAGATGATTTAAAGTATAGGAGGATATGTGTAGGCACTGCGCAAGGATCAGACTATTTTATAGAAGAGACTTAAGCATCTGTAGATTCTGATATTCTCGTAGTGTCCTGGAACCAACCCTTTGTGAATACCAAGAGAGAACTAGCCTTTGAGGACGTAGCTAGTGGCAGCTTTTCTTTCCTTTGGCATTAGGAAGGAACCAGAGTAGAGATGAGAGGAACAATCTTGAACTATTGTTTTTATAAGAATCCGGTGCATAAGCTTATAAATCAGTATTAATGGTGCTGGAAGCTGGTTTTCAAAGCCATCTCTGGGATTTGGACATTTGCTCTCAAAACCTGTTGCAATATTTATGAAGAAAAATTCAATGTTTATTGTTATTTACAATCAATTGGAAAGCTGGCTGATGATCTTAGAGTAAGTTCCTGAGCTGCTGTTTGAGCAGCTTTTAAATGATTTGTTTCAGTAGTGAAGCAGTCCCAACAATGCAGGCAGAGGGCTTTTGGGGTTTCATTTGAAAGGTACATGTGAGTCACCAGGTGGATTGTGGGGAGCAATTCGGACTAGACTAAGTTACTGGAATTAAGACTTATTCTATGCATCTGCTCTCCCACAATATGGCACTGGGAGAGAAGAAAACAGCTTCTACACAGCTGCCTCCAGTTCAGCCAATAAACTGTAGGACTTGCTCCTGATTGGAGGAGAGCAGCGTACTCGGCGTGTGGGCAGCCGAGTTGGGATTGGCGGAGGAGGACTATAAAGGAGGAGAGAGACGGCATGCACCAGGAACATCTAAGGGGAACACCTAAGGGGAACACCTGTGCAGCCCCCGAGAGAGCCGGCCGGCGGTGTGCTGCTCCCCTGCGGAAGTGGGGAAAGCGGCCAGGGGGAACCGCCCTTCCACGGAGGTGGAAGGGACAGTAGCCAACCCGGGAAGAACCAGCAGCAAACCCGGGGAGGGCCGAGCAGACAAAAGAACAGCGCAGGGTCCTGTGTCGTTCCTCCACGAAGAGGGGGAGCGACAGTGGATCTGTTTCCTTCATTCAACTCCACAGTTTTTCTATTCACCCCTAAATTATATTCTTAAACTAGCTCAGTTGCTTGCCACATTTTAAAAATAAGGAAATCTTATTTTTAAAATAAGCTAAAAATAACTGAAATCCCAGTCTTAGCAGTCTTCTACTAAGTAAAATAGCTGATAAGTAGTTATTTCATTTTTTATTCATCAGTAAATTAGTGTACTTTTGATGTTTAAGGTTCATAGAAGACTGCAGGTTAACTGCCACCTAAAATTCCTAGAGGAACGTTTCGTTTCATTTTGTTTAGATGCCTTGAAAGGAAGCTGTTCCTTCAAGAAGTCTGGTGGTGGGAGAACCACTGTTTTTTTATAATCCCATGTAACATTATTAAACTATAAGTCTTTTGTGGTTGTTACAGGAAGCATAGCCTGTAGGTGGAAAACTAAGTGTATGGTCCCGTAGTGCTATAAAATAGTTCAGTAACTGGGCAGACGTGTTTATTGTGTTAATAACTAAAACTCAGCATGGCAGGCAGGGTGGAGCCAGAGTTAGGACGTTTGGCACAAGAGTTCTTCAGTCTTGGATGTGCACCCTGCCTCTGTTACTTAGCTACTGCACATCCTGGGTTATTCATCTTCCAGCTCCTGTTTTCCTCATCTGTACAATTTAGATACCAAACCTATAAAATTACCATAGTTAGAATTAAATAAGTTTATTGTACACGGCTCATTTAATGTTATCTGTGGGCATATAGCTAGTTTTCATAACTATTAATTGTTGTCAATATTGTGTTATAAACACACATACTTAGACATGTCTTGTATTTAACTCCCTTTCTAGTGTAGGGTTTCTCAAGCAGGGACTAGCTTTTAGCATAATGTCCTAGGTGTAAAATGTGTTTCAGCGCTCAAAAGTGACAAAGCCAGTTTACATGTTTTTAATATATCCAGACAAAGCCTTACTTGCCTTTACGTGTAATGTGTATGCTTAGCCGTTGTGCCGCCGCTGAGCTCAGCAGCACTCCGCAGGCAGTGTGAGGCCTCTGTTGCCTGAGGCTTCTTGTCACCCTCAGCGTGGTGGTGAATGCACATCTTTCCGAGACGCAGCGGATCTTTGCCACCTCAGTGGGCCTCTGAAACCAGGGCTTCCTTCACCCACATTTCCTCTAGAATGGAGTTTTTCATGCAGCAGAAGCTCACATTGATTAAAATCAAGTAAACGCATCAGGGAGAGTTAGAGCATCATATGCCAGTGTATATTTGTGGCAGGGGTTTCCAAGAGTGGGTTTTGTTAAACGTAAAGCAGGACATTGAGGTAGAGAGCTCTCTCTCTCTCTCTTCCCTCCACCCCCCTGTACTTCATGAAGAAAAAATGCATTTATTATTAAAATTTATCATAGCTCGACATCATTGCAAACTTGCTAGAAACATTTTCAGCAGTTTTCGACACAGAAGTGATCTTTAGCAGTAGGGGCAGGGAAATAGGTATTATTTCATATACATTTATTGCTGGTAATGAACAAGATGACATGGAGACCACACCTATTTGAGAAGATGTGGGTGCTTAGTTGTTTTGCTAAATAAAGTGTGAGAGGGATATGTGTACAAGTTAGAGAACAAAAGTGAACTGAAGGAATAGAAGTATGAATTATCAAAGAGATTAGGGAAGTAGTGTTTTTGTCTTACCTTTTGCTATTTTGTGTTGTACTGTGTTGTGTTGTACTGTTGTACTGTTCTGTGTTGTACTGTGCTGAAGAGGACTTTCTTCCTAACTAGAGCACTAAGCAACCATAGATGGTCAATACTCTGTGCACACACTGTGTTGTCAGAATGAACAGTGCTATCATGCAGGCTCTGTTGTCGCACAGGCAGACTAGTAAGTGAATGAAAAATTAGTGCTCTAGGTTACTTGTATTTAACTCGTACCCTACAAAGCAATGATGCCAGTAAAGCCTCACAAAACAGTTAAGCGGGGGAATTGAATAAATCCTTTCTTCTAAGCTGCCCTATGTGAATTTGAGACATTTTAGGGTAAATGGGTTGTGTGTTGAGGCAAGCTATAGATTTGGCTTCTCTGAGGACAGAGCAAGGAAATGAGTTTTGAGGGTGATGCAGCGCTGTCTTTCAGACCATATTTGGATGCAGCGTGTGTTTTTGTTCTTCTTTTATGGCTCATAAGGGACATGCTCTTGGGCTTCATTCCAGCTTCAAGGTCATCAAAAAGTGCTGTACACCCAGGAGAGTTTGTTTCCTTAGGGAAAGAGATATATTTTATCAGGGCACAAATCTCTGGATAGCAGAAACTTTGTGTGTTTAGGTTGGAGGTGGGACTGATCTGCACTTAGCAGTCTGTCACTGAGCAGTGGGAAGATGAGCTGGAGTGTGAGGGCCAGATTTAAACCCCTCTGTAGCCTTCACCTTTCCTCTGGGATGTGTCTGACTCAGATATACCCACGGGCCACCCACTGAAAGCTAGATGTTTAGCATGGGAAAGGGACTGCCCTGCACATAAATAGCACAAATTATAGCAGGGAAACTGCAGATGGTGATCTAAAGCATGACTTTGAAGGCACAGCTAGGAAGTGGTGACGTTCCTCACGCTGAGAACCTGTCATCCCGTGGGAATGGCGAGGGGTGGGCTGGCCGGGAGCGTCTCTGTGTATGTGTAGTAGGGCTGGAGATGTCTTCTTGGAAACTTAATAGGAGGAAATTTGGGGTTCTGCGTATGAGTTGGTGACAATTTTGGGACCTTGTGTGCACTTCATTATAAAAGGTGTGGTCCTGGCCATTTACGAAGAACTAAAATTGAGCTCTGTCTTTCCTGTTCAGGGACTGGCACACCTTCATATTCATCATGTGATTCACCGGGACATCAAGGGCCAGAATGTTCTGCTGACCGAGAACGCTGAGGTGAAACTCGGTACGTGATGGATGTTGCAGCCTAACCGCATCCTTGTCCCTGTACAAGCCGGCAGCACCCCCTGCCCTGTTTGACATTTAGCTCAAGGTTCAGCCTATTGCCCGTGATTTTTCTTTCTGTTCTGTTGATGCATGTGGGAACTGGGCTTATTCCTCAGCTTGGCTCCAACCTCCTTTTTCCCATGCTTCTCCTCTCTGCTCTGTTCTCTGCGCAGCAGCCAGACCAATCTTTAAATCAAACCATGTCACTTTCTTGTTAAAAGACCCTTCGTGACCTCCTATTTTACTCTGGGTAAAATCCACATGTCTTAATGTAAGTTTTGTGATGCCCCATACAAATAATATGTAATCTGGTGCCTGCTGCTGTCTCATTTTGTGACCCTCTTCACTTCTCTGTTTTTCCTTAGTCCCTGTCTTTGTTTCCTTTAATACCTAGGAATTTGCCTTGGGGCCTTTGCACATACTATTCCTCCATTGGAAACACTTGATTTCACTTGGGAAGTTGCAGGTTCCCCCTTGACTTCAGGAGCATTTTCTGGCCCCAAATCTGTATTTGGCCATGTTGCTTTTTTCTTTTGTAGTATTATAGACATTTTGTGATTGCATGATTATTTGTTTGCCTATATTTCTGTCTTCTTTAGCAAAATATAAATTCTGGGGATACAAAGACTGTGATTTTGTTCACTGTAAATTGTTTGAAAGGCAGAAAGAGATCTCCCACCCACTGGTTTACTTCCCGAATTTATTTATTTATTTATTTTTTGACAGGCAGAGTGGACAGTGAGAGAGAGAGAGAGAAAGGTCTTCCTTTGCCGTTGGTTCACCCTCCAATGGCCGGCGCGCTGCGGCCGGCGCACCGCGCTGATCTGATGGCAGGAGCCAGGAGCCAGGTGCTTCTCCTGGTCTCCCATGGGGTGCAGGGCCCAAGCACTTGGGCCATCCTCCACTGCACTCCCTGGCCACAGCAGAGAGCTGGCCTGGAAGAGGGGCAACCGGGACAGAATCCGGCGCCCCGACCGGGACTAGAACCTGGTGTGCCGGCGCCACAAGGCGGAGGATTAGCCTAGTGAGCCGCGGCGCCGGCCTACTTCCCGAATTTCTGCAGTAGCCAGCCTGGGTGCTGGTGACTTAATCCGAATCTTCCATGTGGGTGGCGGAGACCCAGGGACTTGAACCATCGCCCGCTGCCTCCCAGGGTGTGCGTTAGCAAGGAACTCTGTCATAAGCAGAGCTGGGACTCAGAACAGGAGACTCTGATAGGGGATACGGGCACTTGGGCTTACTGTCTTGACCAATGTGCCAGATACCTTTGGTTGATGCACATGAGCTCTGTACTTTATTTTTTTTCCCCATCATTGAATTTTGCCAAATGGTTGAACGATGATACTTTTTTTTAGATTTATTTATTTGAAAATCAGAGTTACAGAGAGAGAGAGAGAGAGAGAGAGTGTGTGTGTGTGTGTGTGTGTGTGTGTGAGAGAGAGAGAGAGAGAGAGCGTGCGCTTCCCTCTGCTGATTCACTCTCCAGTTGGCTGCAATGGCTGGAGCTGTGCTGATCTGAAGCCAGGAGCTTCTTCCGGGTCTCCCATGTGGGTGCAGGGGCCCAAGGGCTTGGGCTATCTTCTGCTGCTTTCCCAGGCCACAGCAGGGGGCTGGATCAGAAGTGGAGCATCTGGGTCTCAAACCGGCGCCCATATCAGATGCTGGCACTGCAGGCGGTAGCTTTATCCGCTGTGCCACAGCGCCGGCCCCCCTATGATACCTTTTTAAACTAGCCATTTTACAAAGAAGATTTCTTTTTTAATACTGAGTCTGTGATCATATGATTTCAGATTGCTTGTTTTTTCATCAGTGTTGTGGGTTTCAGAGGGTACTTGTTTAATCTGTTTTCCCTTATGGTGCCTGTAGCATGGAATCTTAATATTTCCAAAGTGTACCAGCATCTCATAACCAGTGAATAGATTGTTGGGTGCAGGAAAGCATGTGATTGTGGATTCTCTGCTACCTCAAACATTCATAGAACTCCTTGCTCCCAACCACCCAGGTCACAACTTGACAACAGTAGCCACACGTTGGCCTGTCAGGCAGCAGGGCAGTGCACTATACACCACTGTGCCGTGGACATCGTCCCAGTGTCCTATTTATAGGACAGCTATTTTAGAACATTGATAGTGTGAAATAACAGTGCATTCCTAGAAATAAGGTGACAACCTAGTTCTAGAAAATACTTATGTCTTGCATATCAGTTTATGTGTATAATCTTTTTTCAGTTGAGTATTTGGTGAAAATAATTTTTGTAGTAAAGTTTTGCCATTTTCACAATAAACTTAAAATGCTCTCATCATTCATCTCTTTTCTCAAAAGACTAGAGCTCTAAAACCATAATATTTATTTTAGTGATACCATAAGTGATACATTGTTGCTCAATTTAAGTGTTTTTTAGGTGTCCTGTATATAGGACAGTGAGACATAGTGGGCTAACAGAATTAACATTCATTTTTCTTCTACTGAGGCATCATACACACACAGAAATTCTTCATGTTTACCACGATCTAGTCCACCTTTCTTTCAGAAAGGTGTAGAAAGAAAACCTTCAGCGTTGCTTTCTTGCCTAGTGCCTATGTTTACTCCTCATTTGTAAAAGGACAGTTTGCTCCATTGGCAACTTCCCGCAGAGCTGAGCTAGGAAGCACTGGCTCCGGGTGCCCCGCCGGTGATAGTCCTCCAGCAGCCACTTAGTAATGTGTTGCCATGCAGCTGGCTGTGGCCCATGTGTCTGTGTCTCAGGAGCGGCGTTCAGTGAGTGAGCCTGCCCCTGGCCAGGGTGTTTCTTGCATGTATATAAAAGTTGAATCTTTGTCTCCTGTGAGTCATCTCAGTACTTTGTAGGCCCGTGGCATGAACCCATCCCCCTTTGCATTCTTTCGCATGGATTGACAGTATACGTTTGTATAGTGATGATGTTGGCAGGTACTGATGGTCAGCTGTTCTGTGAGAGGCCAGTGGCTTCCTGCCAACCCTCCCTCCCATCCTGGAACTTCCCTCTAGACCACTGCCATCATGACATTGGGTGGGACGTAGAAGCTGCTCTGGACAATCGGTAGAAGCACCAGTGACTCGAAGCTGTTTCGGTCCTTGTAGTCTTGCTTCTGTTATTTAATGCAGTACTGAGCGGAAGTAAGCCTCTGCAGGCTTATCTTTGTATGACTGTCAGTGCTGCTTGAGAGGCTAAGCGAGGGGCTCTCCGTCCGTGCTCCTGAACTTGGGGCCTTCTGGAGCTTGATCTTGTTTGTGACAGCAGTGTTCTCTGAAAGCAGGGAACAGTTATTCGTTGAAAAGGTCCGCTGCTTTCCTGCTTTCCACTGTCCAGGAAGCCCGGTAGGCCATCTGGTCCAGGCGTCCAGGCGTCCAGGCGCTCCCAGTGTGATAGAGGACCTTTGCTCTGGGCGTGTGCCGTGCCTTGAAGAGCGCACGTTCCTGAAGCTCTGGCGTTTCCGTTTTCTATGAGGATGCCTCCTCCTAACGCTTAGTTGTGTATCTACTCCTTGTCTGTTCGTGTTTCAGTCTTCCTTCTTTTCTATTCTTGCAGTTGATTTTGGTGTGAGTGCTCAGCTGGACAGGACGGTGGGGCGGAGGAATACCTTCATTGGCACCCCCTATTGGATGGCTCCTGAGGTCATCGCCTGTGATGAGAACCCAGATGCCACCTACGACTACAGGGTAAGAGGCACCTTCTTGCTGGGCCTTTGCTGGGTTGCTGATGGTCCTGAGGAGTGGGAACTATGCTCACAAACTGTACAGCCCGTATCCCTGCCTGTGTTTTCAGTGAGGAAGACACGGGCACCCAGTTACAGGGTGGGTGCTTATACTGCCTGTGCTTTCCTCAGTCGGTACACAGTGTTGTGGACCGAATTTTATATTGTGAGTAAATTACATTATTTCTGCCCATTTGCTATCCTTTTATTTCTTTTAAGAATTTATGAACCCCTTCGTTTTATTTGATGGAGGGAGGGAGAGAGAAAGAGAGAGAAATAGAAATGGAGACAGAGGCCTTCCATCTGCTGATTTACTCCCCAGATGTCCGTAACAGGCTGGGCTGGCCCAGGCCAAACTCCATAATCTCCCATGTGAGTAGCAAGTACTACTTGAGCCATCACCTGTTGCCTCCCAGGGTGCACATTAGTAGGAAGCTATAGTCAGAGTTGGAGTGGGGACTTTAACCTCACTCTCCAGTATGGAATGCAGCAACTCAAATAAAACCTTAGATTTTCACTGCTGTGTCCAGTGCTTGACCCTGCTGTCCTTTCTCATGTGAAAAGCACAGTAGAATCAAATGTTCAGCCTTCTAAAAATATTGTTTACAAGTATAGCAATAGCTTCATCTGTGAAGGTTTGGAGCGCTCTTGCTAGAGAATTTACAACTCTGATTTGGTATGCAAATATTTTTAAATTACTAGAGTGACCTCTAGGGACGTGTATCATAATGCACTGTTTTGATCCAAGTCTGAGTTTGATATTCAGACTCAGACTGGCCAAGTTCACAAAAACTTAGGAAAAACAACCAACTGACAGCATCCCTTGCTTTAAGTGAATAAGCCAGAGCGGTTAATGTATCTGTTAATGATATTCACAATTCAGTCTGTGTCTTCAGTGATTTCAATGTTTATTACAGATACATAGCTAATAAGGCTTAGTTTAAGCCTGTGTGGTGCAGAAGAATTTTTTTATGTGCTAAAGTACTTTAAGATACATTATAGACTTTCCACTCTTTAATATGCCATTGCAATCTGTAAAATTTGAAAACACTTTCTGACATATGTAAAATGTTATTGTAACTAAGAAAATAAATTACTTCCGGGGCCGTTGCTGTGACAGAGAGGGTTGAGCCTCACCCTGCAGTGCTTGCATTCCATATGCATGCTGGTTCCAGTCCCGGCTGCTCCTCTTAACATCCGTCTCACTGATAATGCACCTGGGAGAGCAGCAGAAGAAGGCCCAAGACCCTGGGCCCTGCACCCACATGGGAGACCTGGAAGAGGCTCCTAGCTTCAGCCTGGCCTAGCCCTGGTTGTTGTGGCCATTTGGGAACTGAACCAGCTGATGCTCGATCTCTCTCTCTCTCTCTTCTCTCTCTCTCTCTGTAACTCTGCTTTTTAAATAAATAAATCAATCTTTTTTAAAAAAGGAAAATGGGCCGGCGCCGCGGCTCAATAGGCTAATCCTCCACCTTGCGGCGCCGGCACACCGGGTTCTAGTCCCGGTTGCCCCTCTTCCAGGCCAGCTCTCTGCTGTGGCCCGGGAGTGCAGTGGAGGATGGCCCAAGTGCTTGGGCCCTGCACCCCATGGGAGACCAGGAGAAGCACCTGGCTCCTGCCTTCGGATTAGCGCGGTGCGCCGGCCACAGCACGCCGGCTGCGGCGGCCATTGGAGGGTGAACCAGCGGCAAAGGAAGACCTTTGTCTGTCTCTCTCTCACTGTCCACTTTGCCTGTTAAAAAAAAAAAAAAAGATTAAAAAAGGAAAATGAAATACTATTATAACATCCGTTAGCTTCAGCTAGGTGGTTTGTCCAAACTGGTATCTAATATGAGAAAACATAGTGAATTTGGTTGTTTGATCTCTCTCTCTCTCTCCCCCCCCCCTCTCCCCCCCTCTCTCCCCCTCTCTCCCTCTCCCTCTCCCTCTCCCTCTCCCTCTCCCTCTCCCTCTCCCTCTCCCTCTCCCTCTCCCTCTCCCTCTCAAGATTTATTTATTTATTTGAAAGGCAGAGTTTCAGAGAGGCAGAGAAAGAGAGAGAAGTCTTCTATCCACTGGTTCATTCCCCAAATGGCCACAACAGCTGGAGCTGGGCTAATCTGAAGCCAGGAGCCAGAAGCCTCCTCTGGGTCTCCTTGCTGGTACAGGGGCTCAATTACCTGGGCCATCTTCCACTACTTTCCCAGGCCATAAGCAGAAAGTTGGTTCAGAAGAGGAGCAGCCAGGACTTGAACCAACTCCGACGTGGGATGCTGGCACTTCTGGTGGCAGCTTTATCTGCTATGCCATAGTGCAGTGCTGTCTCTTTAAAAAAACAAAACAAAACAAAACAAAACAATTTATTCTGTTTATTTAGTTGAAAGGCAGAGAAAGAGATCCTTATCTGCTGATTTACTTCCCTTATGTCCAAAAGAGCTGGTGGTAGTTGGCGAGGTCAGGAGCCTGGAATTCATTCTGGGTCTGCCAAGCCATCACCTGCTGCTCCTCAGGGTTTGTGTTATCAGGAAGCTGGATCAGAAGTGGAGCTGGGACGTGGGAGTCTGATGTATGGGGTACAGGCTTGCTTGCTGAGCGCAGCCCAACCACTGTGCCAAACCCCTAGCCCGTTGTTTCTTTCTGTACTGAATATCCCCATCCCTGCCTCCCCTTCGTTTCCCTTTTTCCCCACAGAAGGGACTTGCTGAAGAGGCTGGGCCAGTTGTAAAATGTTCTGCCCTCTAGATCTGTGTTTCCTGCCAACTGGAAAGGCTCATTTAGGATCAAGGAGAACCTTAGCAAGATCAGCTCCTGGGAGATGGGTGTGCTTGGGGTTGCCTCACACCAGGGCTGTGCAGCAAGGCTTATCCTGCCGCTGCCACTGTGTTAAGCTGGAGCCCAACCCATTTGTACTCCTGTGGTAGAGAGAACTCCATGAAGATGCATTTTTATTTTCCAACTTAGGTCACAGTTTGTTTGTTTGTTTGTTTTTTTTTTTTAAGCAAATCCTTACACTGAGCAATTTTAGGTAATTCCTTGGTTAGGATAGCATATAAGTGAAAGTATGAATAGACAAAAGTGCCTACCCTCATGGAACTTACATTTGAATGGGGAAATCAATTCAAGTTTGAGGGTTAACTTAGGGAAAACAACTCACAGTTTAGTTTAAGGGTGGAGTACAGTTGCTTGGCAGCGTGGTTTAAATTAGTGATCCATGGTGGATTTTACAAACTCTGTTTTGGACGTTTTATAAAGAATGCTTTCTGCTTAATTAAATTTGAGGTATTAATGTAAAGATAAATATAATGTGGGCCAGGAATCTAAACCGTTGCTTGTATAGAAATGAACAAACGTACCGAACAGCATACATTTCCCTGGTTAGTTAGAGCGGGACCTTTATGTGGGCCATCTTTAGCTTATCTCTAGAAATGAGAGGTTGTCATTAATAAACCAGTTTTTCTTTGTTTTATCAATCACTCACTTGTAAGGTATCCTGAGAATGTGTTTGTGCTTTCAGTTTCCCAATGCACTTTCTTTTCAGCTTATTTGCCAAAGAAATCTTCTATATTTGTGTAAAAGGCCAGCTGTGTAGGTTGGTGGCTTCACAGGTATCAGTAACGTCCTGTTTTATTTTTGCAGAGTGACCTTTGGTCTTGTGGCATTACGGCCATTGAGATGGCAGAAGGTGCTCCCCGTAAGTAACTTTCCTTTTTAGCCCACTTGTTAAATGTAACTTAAACCAGTCCCAAGGCTTCAAAAGAACAACTCCGTGGATAAAGACAGTCCTGGTGGGGCCGTTAGATGCAGGAACTATAAATACAGTGATGTCGTAGATGTAAGAGGGATTCTTGGCAAGCATACTTCCTTTTGGAGACCCCTTGGAGGTCTATAGGCTATATATTTTCTCTTCAGTTGGATTCACATATGTGTCTTGAAAATATGCTCACATCAGATAATAAGCAATAATTGTTCTTTTTACATTTTAGACTTAATATTGAAATTGGTCCTAATGTATGAAATTTTAGTATCACTTAAGTTTTGACTTTACAAATGGAGGCATAAATTTTTTTGGTATTACCTCTGAAATGTTGTGACAGTGTTTGCGTCTTGTTTGGGTTAAATCAGTGAGAACTTCATACAGTTGCGTTTTGATCAGGGACAGTGTGGCCCTGTAGAGAGCCAAGAAAAGTCAGCATTTTCTGCTAGTTTCCCCGAAAAAGGTACACAGGAAGAACACATCACTGTAGTCCTGGTTACTGCTAAATAAATATTTGTTGAATGAATGAAAAATATTGATTGATAGCTGACAGTTAGTTTGCTACAAGGAAATGGTTATTTGCCTCAAACATCATATGCGTATGTTCTCTTGTGTCCTGCTAAGGAATGGAGAAGGGAAGTATTGGTGCCCCATTGTCAGTTTTCTTTCACAATTTGGATAGTGTTGCCTGCATGTCCTGCAGGTAAATAAACACATGGACATGTATATGGCCTCTGGTGACATCAGTGTGTGTGTGTATGCCTGGCATGTGTGTACTGGAGCTAGTCATAGTAGTAGTGCAAGCATTATTCGCACAGAAGTAAGCAACTCCACCTCTCACGTGTTTGCTCTTCCACAGTACCAGCAGTTAGATAATGACCGGTGAACATTTCTGGAGGACATCATGATGCTTACTCTGTTCCAGGCATTATGTGAAGTTGCTCACAAGCCATGTGAACTTAATCCCTACAACTCTATGAAAATACCATAACTTTCATTGTAATCTTACAGATGGTTTAAAAACCTAACTCCTTTAAGACTTTGAATTAATGTTTATCTTTAATTTATGAAGACTTTCCAATTTCTGTTTGAAATGGTATATTCTTCTTGTTGCTCTTGTCCTCCTTGTATTTTGTTTTTAAATGAGACAGTCAAGGTTTACCCTAGAGTTCATAACTAGATGTCTAGATTGCTTCTGAATGAATTGGACAATGCAATGGGACACAGCATTTGATGTTATTTGTAAGTGAGCCCTAGAAATCAAAAATAAGTAAAATAAGAAGTGCCATACTGACACAACCGTCTCCTCTCCCCAGCTCTCTGTGACATGCATCCAATGAGAGCACTGTTTCTCATTCCCAGAAACCCTCCTCCCCGGCTGAAGTCAAAAAAATGGTAAGCTATAATTTGGTTGCTTTCTTTCTTTCTTTCTTTTTTTTTTTAAATAATTGTTTCTTTTTAGTTTTACTCTCTTCTGAGGTGGAGTTTTGACCATTTAAATTCCAAAGATCACGAGAGCCAGTGTTCCAAAACATAATTAAGTAGTACCTCAATCTAGCTTGTGAGCAGTTTCCTGATCAGTTCTCTCTAAATTACAGAAGAGTGATAAGTGAGCATTTGAATCACTATGGCATGATTTTAAGGATGGAAGCTCCATTTTAATATTTAAACAGTTCTATGTGTAATATATTACTGTACATCTTTCCATTAAACAGTGCAAAGCTGTGTTGACCTGGAGTTCCTCAGATGAAGGAGAAGTTCAAAATTAATGGAAGGATTTACTGTAACTGTTTTTTAAAAATGGAAGTTAGGCATATCCTTTCTTGTTCCAGAAGAGCGTATTAACACAGTGATCCTTTCTCCTTGGGTGGCCTTCTCCTTGTAACTCTGACACACTGTCAATCCCAAATGTTAATATCCATAGAGGCATGGAGATAATGATGCCTTTCTTTAGGAGCATTTTTAGAATTGCAGTGTTCTGGGCCTGCCCATTAGTTCTTATCTACACCCAACCTCCTCAGAGACAGAGGTACTTCGAACAGTTCATGAAAAGTTTAAAGATAATTTTGGTTCACAAATTTTGAAATCCACACATAATTTTTTGTAATACACATTTTCCATGAGTTTTTATTTTAAGCACCCCACATGAATGAATTTCAGAATTTTTTTTTTTTTTGTACCAAAATAAACTTATCTTCTAATTCCTTTCTTCCATGATCTTTTTGAAGTTCCCTTTTATGTGAGTCTTCCCTCTGTTTTCCTGGGCCCATCTTACTGATGCCCACCTGCCATGAGTTATTTGTTTTCTTGTTTTTTCTTGTTTGAAACTATTCATACTAGTTTTATAGTTAAGGTTGTCTTCTTGCCTCTCTCATTCTGAAATATGAAGAAGATTTCAATGTTAAGCCTTCCGACCCAGATCTGGCCTCTTCAGCTGTTACTGTCTGCTCTTTCCTTCTTGGTTGCTCGTGTTCTGATGTTTCAGGGTCTTTTTCCATCCTGGGTGTGTACACACACACTCTTTCACACTGGGTTGCTTCCTGTGTCTCCCTGCTCCTCACTGCCCAGACATCTCACCAATCTTTTCACACTTTTTTCTGCTGGCAGGATTTTTCTCATTCTTAATCTGTTGTCTTCAACTCCAGATAACTATGGTTGTCTAATTTCATTTACCAGTGTTTGGACAGCTCTTATAGTACCTAGTACACACAGTACAAAGATTTTAGGCCCACTTGTTCTTTGTATTGAGACTTGAGACCTCTGGTGGAAAGCCCCAGGAAAGCCCGATGTGTATGGTGGGCATCACCCAGGACTGAGCTCTAGGGCTTGAGCGACTCGTACCTGAACAGGGAATACTTGCTTTTCCATTTCTTGCTGTCAATCAGATTTTATAATTTTTTTAAAATGAAACCACAGACCATTTCTTTTTTTTTTTTTTTAATTTGACAGGTAGAGTCATAGACAGTGAGAGAGACAGCGAGAAAGGCCTTCCTTCCGTTGGTTCACTCCCCAAATGGCCGCCAGGGCCGGCACTGCACTGATCTGAAGCCAGGAGCCAGGTGCTTCTTCCTGGTCTCCCATGTGGGTACAGGGCCCAAGCACTTGGGCCATCCTCCACTGCCCTCCCGGGCCACAGCAGAGAGCTGGACTGGAAGAGGAGCAACCGGGACTAGAACCTGGTGCCTATATGGGATGCCAGCGCTGCAGGCAGAGGATCAACCAAGTGAGCCACGGCGCCAGTCCCCAGATTTTATAAATTTTTTAAAACTTATTTCCCTTTTATTTGAGTGGTAGAGAAGGAAAACTATATGGCGAGAGAGAGAGATCTTTCATCCACTGACCCACACCTCAAATGCCTACAACAGCCAAGGTTGGGTTAGGTTGAAGCCAGGAGTGTAGAACTCAAACTAGATTATCCATTTGGGTGACAGGCTTCAGGTGACTGGCCCATCATTCATTGCCTCCCAGTATGCATGTTAGCAGGAGCTGAGATTGGAAGCAGAGCAGGGACTTGAGTCCAGGCCCTCTGATAAGGGATGTGGAAGTCCCAAGCAGCATCTTACCTACTGCTACAAATGCCCACACCTCTGTCAGCTTTACTGAAGGCAGTCTGCCCTGGAGGAGTTGCTGAATTAATGGTCTCTCTCCAGGGCATGAATTAATTACCTAATTAATGACCACACTCTGATCATTCCAGTACTTGCAGTTTGGGGTTAATCCCTATATGTGATGAAGGGATACAAAGAGACAGTTATAAATGGTACTAAATAGTACTAAATACATGCTTCCTGTGTTTCTCTAAAGATACCACATTCATCCAAGTCCATCATGATTCCCATTTACCCACAGCTTCTGAAAGGACGAGACGATATGACCGCCTTTGTGATCGCTGCCCTTCTCTCCCCAGATGCTGACTTCTGCTGTTTCCAGAGAGGTAGCTTTCCAAAGATGACCAGTGACCTTTCTTTCAGCAGAACTCAATAGCAGATTTTTTAAAAAAATATTTATTTATTTAATTGAAAGGCAGAGTTAGAGTGAGAGAGGGCGGGACACACACACACACACACACACAAACACACAGACGTGAGGGAGGGAGGGAGGGAGAAGGAGAGATATCTTCTTATCTGCTGGTTCACTCCCCAAATAGAGGCCAGGCTGAGCCAGGTCAAAGCCAGGTTTCCTGTACTTCATCTGGATCTCCCACGTGAGTGGCGGGGACTCAGGCACTCAGGCCATCTTCCCATGCCTCCCCAGGTGCATTAGCAAGGGGCTGGATCGAAAGTGGAGCGGCTGGGACTCAAACTGGCATCCATATGGGATGCTTGAGTCACAGGCAGAGGCTTAACTTGTTGCACTTGGCTCCCAATAGTAGATTTTAAAGAATACTTGGTACATTGTTGATGTTCAGATGTTAGTTGGTAGGCACAGTGCATGAGAGTCAACCTTTCTGGTCTGGAAAGGGACTCAGGCCGTTCTATTTTTAATGAGTTCCATGAAGTGATCCTTGGGGCAGCAGAATTTAGGCATCTCTCTGTTAAGAGTATTTCACTGTACTGTGCAGAGTCTTCTGTGCTCCTCAGTAACCACAGAACAAAGCAACAGCTTCTCCTAATGCCTTTGAGGCCCTTTCTCTGAGCAGACACAACTCGGTTTTCCATTCTTCTCCCCTTTTCCTATAAACCTCAGAAAGTGATTCATTGTTTTCCACAATTCTCTGCTTTTGTCCATGTTGTTCCTTTACTCTGTAATCCTGTCTTCTCTCTCCCTCTTTTTGGAGTATCAAATATCCTGCTTTTTCTTGTTGTCTAGTCTATTGTAGGATTTTTTTTTTTTCCTCCTCTGGGAGTTTGATTGTAATTTGTTATTATGTATACTTAAAATTCTTCCACTATGTTTCCTATGTGTATTTCTGATAGAGCCTAACCTAAACATATATACATAACTCTTTGTTGAATTGAAAAAATAATTAAGTTAGAATGGAAATAGTAAGGTGATAGAAATGATTGTTAAAAGCAGTAAATTACTGAAAAGAACTGCATGAATTCTTTTAATCACATTTTTAAAGACTCAGTACCTCATTCATTCAACAAAAATTTATTACATAACCTATAGTGATGTACCACCCTTAGTGTTAAGCATTGCTGGGAATTGCAAAATAGGAAGAAGTTCTTGACCTTTACCATGTCATACCAACAGAATCAATTAAACAGTCAGTTAAAAGTAGGTAGCCTGAGGAGAATTCTCCTGACTGAGGGAATGTTGGATAAAGTGGTGCTTGGTAAGCCTTGAGTCTCAAAAGGCTGGGTAAGGGTGTCTCGACTAGGGTTTGGGCTGGGGTTCACCTTGAGCCAGGCATGGAGAAAGCAGCCAGAATGAAAGTGGCAAGAAGGGTGCATGGGATGTCAGAGGCATTGGCCTCTCCCAGCTGTCGTTTCTACGTGTGCACGTGAAGCATTGATAACTGAGCAGTCAGCTGGTCCAAAGCTCTGGCCGGAACGTCAGTGAGCAGATTCAGGAGCCCAGCAGTTAGGCCCTGCCGGGCTTCGTTTCTCTCTCTGTATCTGTCCTTATCTTCTAGACAGTGGACATCCATCCTCTGTCTGCCTTCATTTTGGCACAGACTTCCCACTGCCCCCTTGCTCCTCCTTTTTAAATGTTCTCCTTTGCAAAAAGGCATTAGAAGATCCTTGGCAAAATCTGAATAAGGTCTGTAGATGAGACAATAGTACCGTCTCTGTTAATTTCCTGATTTTGACAACTATACTGTGGTGAATGTCCTTGTGTTTAGAAAATACCTGGTCCCTTCATCTTGCTTGCTCACAAATATACCTTCCCATGAGTAAGTGATTACTAAGCAATGTTAGATTTAAACACAGCTCACCTTCCTACTGCTCTGTGCAGTGTTGGCAGTGATGTGTAACCCTTGAACTGTGTTAATTGATGTTCCTGGTTCCCAACGGTTCTGAATTTGTGTTTCTGTTCCTCTTGTTATTCCTGCACATTTGTGAAGGTGAATTCTTACTCATTTGCATTCACAGTGAATTTTGGAGCTCTTTGTTTGCAGGCTTGCAAGTGACTGATACTTTGGAGCTGGCTCTTTGTGTTGAAAAGTTGTTGAAGCTTTTTCCTTCCTCTTACAGGTCAAAGAAATTTTTTAGTTTCATAGAGGGATGCCTGGTGAAGAATTACATGCAGCGGCCCTCCACAGAACAGCTTTTGAAACATCCTTTCATAAGGGACCAGCCAAATGAAAGGCAAGTTAGAATCCAACTTAAGGATCATATAGACCGGACCCGAAAGAAGAGAGGAGAGAAAGGTATTGTAATGCCATTTTTATTTTCATCTTTTAAAATTTTCATTGGTAGACTCTTGTCCATTAGAATTGGTCATCATTGTCATGGCTGTGAGATTGTGTCCATGGCCAGTGCCTACATGGTTCACTGCCACTCATTTCAGTGATGTGGCTTAGGGGCTGTGGAGCAGAGCTGTGTGGTGTGTGCCACGCTGTCACCCATTACACTGACATCACAGCAGACGTCTTTGTTCTTCTGATGTCATCGTGGATGTGCTGATGGTGGACCTCATTTGGGTTTTGTGGCCATCATTGTCGGTGTGTTCCTTGTGTTCCTTTCCTGTTCAGGCACACCTTCCTCTGTCCTGCTGCAGGCAGGTGGCACAGTCAGGCATGGGCTATGTGCAGTACCTGACGACTTTTATGACTGCACAGGACGTGCTTGTGCTAGTCACTGAGGGTTCCTTTCTGTCCCCAGCCTTTGTTTTACATCTTTGCACACATTGTGCCCTCCTCCCTGGAGTGCCCTCTGTTTTCCTTCTGTTCTTTCGTTTGACAAGGTGCAGTTTAAGCTTCACTATCATCATTAAACCACCCTTTCAGAGGATTGATCAGTAACTTCATAGAATTGTATTTGGATAGCTAGCATGCCATTGATGAACTTTGTTTTGACACATAAATGTCGAAGACCAAAGAAGAAAAAGACAAGTTCAAGGCAGTGAGAATGGTCTGCATCACACTGGAGGCCTAAACTGAGCTTGCCGTGTGTTCATTTGAATCTCATGCAGTTTTGGTACTTCTAGTTAAGTCATTGGTGTTCAAGGTAAATTCTTTTTCCTTTGATGCATTCAGTCATCTAAGTAGTTAAGCTTTGTATATCGAACCTCTGTAACAGAATGAACTAAAGGTTGAAAATAAGTCCCCTTTTCACCCTTAACCCTCGTTTGACCTGGTAGCCCTCTTTTTTGGAAAAAATTATTTGCATATTGCATCATGACTTATTTGTAGTAGCTAACATTTGTGCCACATTGACTGCCCTAGGTGCTTCTGCAGGGGGGAATGTGGGGTACCTAACTTCCTTTCTTGTCAAGTCACAGTGACCTCTTAACTTCCATATATCCTCAGCCACTTGTCAACAATTAGTAGTTTATAGTATGAAACTCTTAAAATAACAGATTAAAGAATTCCAAAGATGATTTTTGGTTGGGATTTTCCTTAGAAGCTGGCTTTTATCTAAATGTCCTTTACAGTTGTATAGTTTGGATTATCTAACAGAAGAACTTGATGTCAGTATGTAGATTGATGAACTTTCGTGAATTGTACTTTAGGTTCTTGAGACCCTTTTTCTTACCAGGAAACTGGTTTTCATCTTACCTGTCTCTGCCAAGAAATAGAAATGTAGTTGTGAGTAGTGTCTCTCTCTCTCTCTCTCTCTCTCTTTCTCTCTCTCCAACCTCTTCGGTTTGGGTTGCTCTTGCTCTCTTCTTTTAATTTCTTTTTAAGGAATACAAACTTAATGCATTTCATATATATAAATTTAGAAACAGTAATTATTCCTTCCCTCCCTCCTGCCCCTACTCCCACCCTTCTTCCTCCTCCCTCTCCCATTCCCATTCTTATTTTTTACAAAATCCAATTTCAGTTAAATTTATACTCCTAAGAGTAACTGTACACTAAGTAGAGAGTTCAACAAAAAGTATGAAGAAAAAACAAAAACAAACAAAAAAAGGGATGGTTCTCTTAAAGTTAGATACTGATAGTTGTGGAGGGACCGGTAAAGTGGCATGTTACTTTTAGGAAAATGTTGTAAAACCTGTGGAAATAAAAATGAGTTCTTGTTAATACTTCTGTTTAAAGACAGGTCCAAGTAGAACAATTTTGTCTCTTTTTTTGCTGTGTTGTTTCTTTGGTTTTGCCTTGTTTTAAATTTGTGGAAATGTTTGATTTTGTTTTTTTGCAGCAGATTCCTACTTAATGACTCAGTTTTTTTTTTCAATACAGTCCTGCTGTATTCAATACTGCTGTGGTCTTAGTGAACCCCTAATTGCTTAAAATAACCAGATTTTCTTGCTTGTTTTGGTTAGTTTGAATAGTTAGCTCTCTTTCTTTTGAATTTTGACATTAAAGTAGACTGTGTATTTGCTTATGCTCCTGGGCAACTTCTTGTTTGTCCGGGCTCAGTGTATCCGATAGCAATGCATCCTGTGTACAGGAATTAGCGCTTCCAGTGGGGAGCAGGGCTAACCAGGGATCTGCCACTGTTCAGTATGGAAATCTGGCGTCTTTCCTTGCCTTCCTGAGTCCTACCCAGGTTCTCTATACACATTTCTATTTCCACAAAGAACACATTGTGTATTTTCTGCCATAATGCTCTTGGAGATGATCGCCTATGTAGGCATGTGTCAGATTGGTGAGCTGTCCCCTATACCTTCCCCTTGTTTTCACAGATGAAACTGAGTACGAGTATAGTGGGAGTGAGGAAGAAGAAGAGGAAGTGCCTGAACAGGAAGGAGAGCCAAGGTAAGGACAAAGCTGCTTTCCAGTGCCCTGCTCCAAGGAGAGATCAAGTTTCATGCTGGTGCAGGGATTTCAGAGCTCGTGGGCAGGAGGGATGACTCTTAAACGACTTCAGAGTGCCTTGCTGTTCCCCGTGCTTTCTCTGCAGTCCTCCCGTCCCACCTCCTCCGGTGGCTCCTCAGCAAGGACAGTCACTTGGCAGCAGATGGGGCTGGGCGTGGAGGTGTGCCTTTGGCATTGATTGCTCTGGGAGGTTTTGTGCTGCCTCGAGGAGTCCAGCACACAGCTGTCTGTTCCTGGGCCAGCAGGGCCTCTTTTGAAGGCTCTGCAGTTCTCCCCACTCCCCGATTTTTTTCCCCCTCATTTTGTCTCCTGTAGTTTAGGGTGTGTTCTCTACTGACCCATTTTATGGTCTATAGTTGGGTTTACCTCTGGCTTTCCAAGGTAGAGTGAAACAGAAAGTAGAGGAGTTAACATTGGTAGCATGAGTCTCCTGATGACCGATTTACCAGGGAATGGGGGACCTTGGGATTCTTAGTAATGGGTTTGCCTGGCACTTGTTTATGCTGTAGCTACACGTGACCAATGCCAAGAGATCTGTGGCAAACCTGTACCAGAGAATGGGAATTTGAAGAGAGATAAGACAAAATATATGAAGAAGCTCTGTAATACCTTAACTATGAGAAGATTTGGATGTAGTTTAAACTAATAATTTTAGAGGAATTTGAACTGACTTCATGAGTAATGTAAATGTTTCTGGATAGGAATCTGATGTGTGAAAGAGGCAGTTCAAGGGTATTAATTGGTTTGCCCTGTGCTGCGGGTGGTGTGGAATTGGAGGAGTGATTCTCAACTGGAGGACCAGCCAAGCACGACGCTGGTGATTGTACCTGAGCACTCAGGAAACGCACTTGGCTCGGAGTGGCAGGGAATGCGTGTGAAGACGGGGTGCTTGACCAGACGGGGACAGGAGGAGGAAGGGAGGAAGGAAGAGTGCCCTGGGACTTGTTCACTGGAGGGGAAGGGACTAGTGACCTGGAGGAAGGTGGTTTCAGCCTTTGGTTTGACAAGACTTTGAACGGATGGGAGAGTCCTGAGTAGAAGTATCTTGTCAAGGCAGCGTGGAGGACAGAGCTTTCAGATGGTTGCTGAAGGTAAAGGAAGATGTGGGACTGCTGAGCTGTAGATGAGATCACTGCTGTGAGCACAGTTTTTGAAGCCCTAGAGCCGGACTTGGTGACAGACTGAGCACCAACAGAGCGGGGAAGCTGGTGGTGCCTCTCTGGGCGGCTGTGTGGTCTGTGCCCGGCCCTGAAAGCCCCTCCTTCCTCCCACAGTTCCATTGTGAATGTGCCTGGTGAGTCCACTCTGCGGCGGGACTTCCTGAGACTGCAGCAGGAGAACAAGGAGCGCTCTGAGGCTCTTCGCAGGCAACAGCTGCTGCAGGAGCAGCAGCTCCGCGAGCAGGAAGAGTACAAAAGGCAGCTGCTGGCAGAGAGACAGAAGCGGATCGAGCAGCAGAAAGAACAGAGGCGGCGGCTGGAAGAGGTAGAAAAGGGAATTGCCCGTGTTGGTCTCACTCACGGCGGGAGCCAGACATGCCAAGGAACATTCTCTGTGGCCTCCAGGGGTGCTGCCTGTCCTTGGCGCAGCTCCCCAAGAGCATGGGAAGGAAGGCTTGTGTGTTGACCGACAGGCCTTCACCTGCCTTGAGGCCTCGGCAAGGCCTCCTCCTTGTAGACGCTTGGAGGACCTGCCCTGCAGAGCATTGGATGCGGAGTAGCTGTGTCCCAGAGATGCCTTCGCCCAGCTTAGTGAGGCCTGTTTCCATCGTGGTTTAGGTTGGCTTGCCAGGCTTGGCCTGGTTTTTCTGCCTCTCTTGTCCTCCAGTTTATGTGGATGTATTTTTCTGAGGCTTCAGACTTTTTTACAGACACATTTTCGTTTGAGTTCCTTAACTTTGGGTGTATTTAAGAAGGAATGCAGAAAGCAGGATTTTGTGTCCTGTGGTGAGGAAGCACATTTTGCTCTCCTGCTCATTTAACTCATCAGTGTTGTTGGCATGGGGAATGTGCTTGCCTATAGTTTGATCATTTTTCCTTTATAGAAACGCATTACTTCCCTGTGCTTCATTCGGCAGTCAAGAGTCTTCTGATTTTGTTTTCTTGACTAACTAAAGTATGTGTTTCACAGCTCAGATTTCTCATTCACAGTCTTTTCTGCTTCCGTTTAATTTGTACACCTTACTGTTCATCATTCTCCTCCAAAAAAGAACCCAGTAACAACAAAGCCCTGTGTTGATGTTACCTAATGGAGTTTAATTTAAATAGCAGCACATACTTTTATTGCCAAGTTATGTAACAGTGCGTATTGATGGTTGGCAGCAGTGGGAGGGTGTAGGGGGGTCCTTGGTTTTATGTTGTGTATTTGCAGTCTGAAAACTCTATATACTTTGCCCCTGTGTAGAAGATCCGTGCATAACCAAGGGCCCTGGCACTACACAGATATTGTAAAGATTCCTGCCTGGAGATGACTGACCAGTGCAGAGGAAGTACAGCTCCAGTGACATGACATCAAGCCTTACGGTTGCCTGATGCTGTCCCTCTACCTGACCCTTAATAGTTTGCTTTTCAGTGTCTTAAATGGACAGCCAAGATCACAGGCACTGAAGAAATTCTTGAACCTGAAGGATTTCTAAATAAATAGAAAAAGAAGCTTGTAGGAAACAGAGGCACTGTAGGAAACAGAACTAAACATCTTACATCTGCATACGTAAACTCTTAACCTTGGAAAGAAATGTTATTAAATCCATGAAGCAAGAATATTCAGAAAATAACAAAAAAATCTTTTTTTAAAAAAATTATTTATTTGAATGACAGTTACAGAGAGAGAGAGAGAGAGCACACTATCTTCCATTTGCTGATTCACTCCCCAATGACCGCAATGGCTGGAGCTGGGCTGATTGGAAGCTGGGAGCCAAGTGCTTCTTCTGGGTCTCTCACGTGGGTGCAGGAGCCCAAGCACTTGGGCCATCTTCTGCTTTCCCAGGTGCATTGGCAGGGAGTTGGATTGTAAATGGAGCAGCGGGGACTTAAAGCGGCACCCCTGTAGGATGCTGGCACCGCGGTGGCTTGACCTGGAATGCTACAGTGCTGACCCCAGAAAAAATTCTTGAAATAAAAAAAAAAAAAAAAAAATTAAAACTTCCAGAAAGTTGGGGGTGGGGAGAGATAAATTGATTGGTAATAGTAGAACCAAAGAAAAATAGAGTCAATCCATAGTTTCTAGACTGACTGAAAAGCTTATTAAGTGCCCAGCACATGGATAAAGAAGTGCCAAAACTGAGACGATGACCAAGGGTTCCAAGGAGCAGGGAATCTGTATCGGGTTTGGCTCTCCAGACAGACACAATAAATAAGGTATGTGTAGGCAAATGAAGGGGATTTATTAGAGTGATTGGTGTAGGATTAGGACTGCTGAGAAGTCTCCTAGGTTATCTGCAGGCTAGAGACCTTGGGAAACTAACTGGGGGTCTCAGACTGAGTTCAAGGGTCTCAGAATCGGGAAAGCTGAGGATGTCATTCTCAATTTGAGGCCGAAAGTGTAAATGTTAGCAAGTGAGCCACTGGTGTGAGTCCTGGAGTCCAGAGGCCAGCGGTTGATACCCAGTGTGGGAGTTGAGCATGACTCCTTCCTTTCTAAACCTCCAACGGATTGATGGTGCCTGCCCAGATTGAGGCCAGTCCTTCCACCTGGTCCACCCAGATTCACATGCTGATCTCATTTTGGAAGCACCCTCTCAGACACAAGCAAAACAAAACTTTTCTAGGTTACTAGGTATTCCTTCATCCAGGCACGTTGACACCAGAGAACTAACCCATCACAGAATCCTTTGTAGGAGCCAGTTCAAAAGCTTTCCTGGGAAGCTGGTGGGTAGAAATGCAGGACGACTGTAGTGTCAAAGAAGACTGAGAACACTCATCTCCACGAATAAACAAGACCTGATTTGTTTAACCATACTGAAAGTTTTATGACACTCTAAGACATTTTCTAGTCAATTTACTGATAGGCCCAAAGAAAACCAGTCAAAGAAACACACTTAAAAAACAAGCGATTAATCACTCCTTGAAAAGCGAAAAGGAAAGTTACTTATCCATGTCTCAGCCATGAATATGGTTTTCGTTTACACAAGAGTTGTCATATGACTGAACTGGGAGCATGAGATGGGATGGAGTAGGGCAATGAATATGCTTTGGGAGCAGTCAATAGGTGGTGTCTAAACTGGAAACAAAAATTAAATAGCTCGATAAGCCTGTTATTTAAAAGAACAGTGTAAATGCTATGAGGAGAACTAAATTCTTGGAAAATTTTTGTGCCTTAGGAGTATGAATTTGGAGTTAGGTAAAACAGCTTGTTTTTGACATATAGTTTATTTTTGACTTTTTAAAGCACCTATTTACTATTTTGATTAAAAATTCTGAAACAAATACAATGGAAAAAGAAAGAATAACCTACTTGTAAGAGCATTTTAAATTTTCCTCTTAAGAGCATTTAATTGGGGCTGGCGCCGCAGCTCACTAGGCTAATCCTCTGCCTGTGGCGCCGGCACCCTGGGTTCTAGTCCCGGTTGGGGTGCCAGATTCTGTCCTGGTTGCTCCTCTTCCAGGCCAGCTCTCTGCTGTGGCCCGGGAGTGCAGTGGAATATGGTACCGAGTGCTTGGGCGCTGCAGCCATATGGAGACCAGGAGGAAGCACCTGGCTCCTGGCTTTGGATAGCACACCAGCTGTGGCGGCCATTGGGGAGTGAACCAAAGGAAAAAGGAAAGACCTTTCTCTCTGTCTCTGTCTCTGTCTCTCTCTCTCTCACTGTCTAACTCTGTCAAAAAAAAAAAAAAAAAAAAAAGCATTTAATTTAATTGAGTAAGGTATTCAAAAATTTCCACTGAGCTGTAGGAAGCCCTACCCTCTATGCAGCTGTAAGCAAGCAGGAAATGGATTCTCTGGGTTTCACCACCTAAGAGTTTAGCACTGCCTAAGGGAATGGATGCTCTCACTTAGGGTGACCAGAAAGTGTGTGCCAAGGGCCTGTGATTTCTTGGTGCTGAAGGTGTCAGCAGCTCAGGCAGGTTGGGGTGGAAGGCAGAAAGACGTGAGATGGGCCTGGGTCTTGGGTATGGGTGTAGACCTGAGCTCTTCTCTGCCCCTGGGTGGACAAGGGAGCGCTCAGCATTTCTAGTTGAGAGGACTGGTGTGTGGAAAGTCAGCTTTGACACTGTTTCAACTTCTGAGCTTTCCTCCCTCACCTCGGTTTTTCCCTTGACGCTCGTGTTGCGTGCACGTGCACACATGCACACACGTGCACACATGCTCGCTCGCTTGCTCGCTCCTCTCTGGAGACATGGTGCAGATTTGAACCATGAGGCTGGTTGGAGTGGGATGCTAGACTGTGTCTAGACGATAGCTGGGTGACAGGGTGTGGTGGGCCGCACTGATTCCTTCCAGACAGTGTGGCAGCAGCCAGGACTGTAACTTAGTTGTCTTGTTTTCCTTGTTCTTTTCTTTTCTGGATGAGTCCTTGCTGGTAAAAGCTAAGGTGTCAGCAGAGACAGGGACAGGGACAGGGTTTATTTTCAAATTAAAACTTCCAGCAGCCTGCATGAATAAAAAGAAATGGCAGTAAGCACAGCTCTCAGGTTTTTGGGATGTGTTCAGGGGCATGTGGTGTTTGGAGCAAAGCAGTGCCCTCAGTGGGGTTTTCTTTCTTTTTTTTTTTTCTTTTTTTAAATTTAAGGTTTTTATTTATTTGCTTGAGAGAGGCAGAGTTACAGACAGGGAGAGACAGAGAGGGAGTCTTCCATCCGCTAGTTCACTCCCCAGATGGCCACAGTGGCCAGAGCTAGGCCAATCTGAAGTCAGGAGATTTTTCTGGACCTCCCGTGTGGGTGCAGGCACCCAAGCACTTGGGCCATCTCTTCCAGTGTTTTCCCAGGCCATAGTAGAGATGCTGAATCGGAAGAGCAGCAGCTGGGACTCAAACCAGCGCCCTTATGGGATGGCGGCACCTCAGGCGGAGGCTTAGCCTACTGAGCCACAGTGCCGGTCCCTTGAAAGGTGTTTGATCTTACCTCTGATCAGCAACAAGGTGAACCACATACGTCTGACAGAGATGTGTCTACTTATAAGTGGTTGTACTAATTGCATACTTTATAAAATGTAAAATAGCAGTTGTAAAAGGATGAGCTAAAAACAGAAATTGTGATTAGTTTTTTTTCCTCCCCTGTACTCGGAGGAATTTTGTGCTCACTTTTAGAGACCACTTATGCAGAGAGAAGTGGACCATTTCAGGTCTTCTCTTCCCACCTTCCACTAGTCTTTTCATGTCATTGCATCATCAGGGTGGGAGGCTGGGTAAGCCCACCTCTTTTGAAGAGGGCTGATCCTTTTAATGTTCACTGATAAGAAACATTTTTTTAAATAAAAGTTTTCCATTCTTAGACTCTAGCCATGACTTCTTGCAAAATATATGCCTTGCACCAAGAGAATTTGCATGGTGAAAATTTCTAGCACAGATTCCACCTGACACACACCTCTTGTGTAGTCGAATCAGGAAGGTGGGGCCCACAGAGGAAGAAGATTGTACCAGGGAAGCACAGCCAGCCTGTGGCCCCTATCCCTGCAGTCACTTCCCAAAGACCCTGTGCAGCCTATCTCCACTTCTGTACATGCCTGGTCAGTATGAGTCTGTGGTCCTCTGCTTCTCCCGTTTACATAATCAGATTGGCTTGGAGCCTGAGTTTCCTGAGGCGATCGGGCATCTTCAAGATGCACACACTCATTGCCTTTCTCTGCTTTTGTCTGAGACTGAAGGAGATTGTGCACCTGTTGCAGTGAGCGGCTCCCTGCCTTCCTTTGCTGTGTTTGCAGATTTTTTCCTTCATCCCTCTTAGTTTATCTTGGCAGGTGTTTGTTCCAGCCAGTGTGTTGGAGCTAGTCATTTCTCATTTGGGAGCCTGCACACACTGTGATTGTCCATTGGTGCTGGCCGGCTTTTCCAGTGACTGTTCCTCAGAGCTTCCCAGCACTGCCCTCAACAGAGCTCGAGGACAGGAAGCAGCATTCACTCCATGCTCACCCCTTCCAGGGAAATGCTCGTGTGTTCTAAGCTTTAAAACTGGGAATGAAGGGCTGTGCTTTGCAGTTCAGGTTTATCATATGTCTTTGTTGTTCTATTTGTAATGTGCTTTACTCAACAAAAAAGTTCAGAGAAAACATCCCAAGAGCCTTACTTAGAAAACTAAATAGGGCTAGCTAGTGGAATTAAGTAATCTGCATCTAAAGCAAAGAGACTTTGTTTTTCTCAGTTTTCAAAATACAGTGATTTTTATTAATTTATTTTTTTGGACAGGCAGAGTTGACAGTGAGAGAGAGAGAGACAGAGAGAAAGGTCTTCCTTTTAGCCGTTGGTTCATCCTCCAATGGCCGCCGCGGCCGGCGCATCGCACCGATCCAAAGCCAGGAGCCAGGTGACTTCTCCTGGTCTCCCATGCGGGTGCAGGGCCCAAGGACTTGGGCCATCCTCCACTGCCTTCCCGGGCCACAGCAGAGAGCTGGCCTGGAAGAGGGGCAACCAGGACAGAATCCTGCGCCCTGACCGGGACTAGAACCCGGTGTGCCAGCGCTGCAAGGCGGAGAATTAGCCTAGTGAGCTGCGGCGCCGGCCAAAATACATTGACTTTTATTATGAGAGTTGTGAAAATGATTGTGTTCTTAGGTATGTATAATTGTTATAAGTTATATCCTGGTGAAAACTGGTCTATAGTTTTTGCTTCATTGTAGAGCAGTTAAAAGATATGAAATAGAAAGTCTTAGCCTAATTTACTTTGAAAGTGAAACTCTTCAGAAACACTCTTGGGGTGTGATTTGAAAAATCTGATACATCAGAGTTCTATGTTATGTTGTTCATAGAGTCCTGGGGCCCAGTGGTTTTGTTTATTTCCAGGTAGCTCATTTTTAAAATAAAAGAAAAAAGGTTTTAGGTCTCTGGAAGCCATGTGAGCATGACCTCTGCATTCAGAAGGCTCCACCTTTCTAGTGGTACAGAGTAGAGGGCAGGGCAGGGCACGGCACCTGTGTCCCCATTCCCTTCTGACCCTGAGTGCAGACTGGTCATGGCAACAAGAGAATGATACCAGGCAGGGAGGCCCCTGCTGTTGCACACTTTGGTACATGGGAGTTGCTCTTACTTGTCCTCCAGGGAGAAATTTTTAGTCTGTTGGTTCATTCCCCAAATGCCTACAACACTAAGGACTGGGCCAGGCTGAAGTCAGGAGCTTGGATCAGAGTGCAGGTCTCCCTGGTGGGTGGCAGGAACCCCCACGTACTTGAACCAACACCTGCCTCTCAGGTTCCACATTAGCAGAAAGCTGGAATCAAAATCAGAGCCAGGACTTGCATCTAGGCATTCCAGTATGGGATGTGGGCATCCTAAGTGACATCTCAACTCCTGCACTAAACATCTGTCCATAGGTTTGATGTTGAGTACTCTAGTATCCAGCTTTTCTCTTTTCCTAAGAATTGAAAATAAGGTGTGAAGACATTAGACTGGCAGGTAACACATCGCAGTGTAGGAGTTAGAATTTCAGGAAGTTGTCTTAGCCTTGAAAGTTTTTAAATATCAGAATGGGTGCTCAAGTCTTCCGGGACTCTGTTTCCTGTCCCATGAGAAGCTGATGGGTTTTGTGCATTGAAGTCTAAGAGCCAGCAGTGGAAAAAGAACAAAATTAGGTAACGGGAGGTGGTGGGACTAAAAGCCCACTCAAAACTGAGAATGATGACAATGTTCTCTCTGCTGAGATAAGACAGAATAGCAAGCATCATTTCCAGCCAGTTATCCCACATGTCAGACATTTCTTACACTTCTCAGGGAATCATTTTTAAGGGTCTTGCTTTCAAATTTGAGGGAATGACCCAGAAGGAATACTTAAGCTCCAATAAATGCTTATTTAGTATACCCATTATAAATTGTTCTGTCTACTGTTTCCAGTAACTTCACCCCGAATATTTTTATTTGTTTAAAGATTAGTGTTAGTGTCACAATAAACTTTGTGGTACTATTACCAGATTTCTGTGTCTGAGAAATTTGATGGCTTTGTGTCCCCTAGAGCTGTTGCTGGCCACATGTGGCCATTTAAGTTCAAAGTGAACTTAGTAGAATAAGAGTGAAAACTCAGTTCCTGATTCACACAGCTACATTTTGAGTGCTCACTAGTAATACTTGACTAGTGACTTAAGTATCAATCAGTATAGAGACAGCATTTTGATCATCTCAGAGAGTTCTGTTGACCAGCACTGATTCTTCGTATTCGTGGGAAGAATTGGTTAATGTTAATACTCAGCAGTCCCTCTGGGGCTAGACAAGACAAGCTGTCAGTGGAGTGCTGTATGCCACAGAATCGCACAGAGCAGGCTGGATTTCGAGAGGTTGGCAGTGATTCAGTCGCAGCCTTTACACCTGCTGCAGGGTGAGGGCGGTATGTGGTCGGGACTATGGACTTTAGAGGCAGAGTGGCACTTCCACCTGGGTCTCTGCTGGCTGTGTGGCGTTGGGCAAGTGATGGGACTTTCATGAACTGGTTTTTCACCTGTCGAGATGAAGTACTGATTTGGTGTTGTGATCAGAGTTAACAAATTCTTAGCACAGTGCCAGGCCATAGTTGTAAGCATGTGTGTTAAATGATAGTTTTAAAAATGTTCTGTTCATGGCAGTAGTAGTGGGAGCCTATCACTCTCACTGATGCCAGTTCCTCTTTCGTGAGGTGTGCTTCTTGTTTTTTCATCTTTGTCTCCTTTTCTTTACTCTATCTCTTTTGTCTTTTACTCCTTTTTCTTAGTTTTTCTCTTGACCGAAAGGCCTTAACTAGCTCTGATAATGACACACAGGAAGAATTCCCTGTATTCCAGTTGTGGTACAGTGAGCAGTGGGGAGTAACTGTTACCAAATGAAACCAAATCCTAAAAGTCGCAGAAATGCAGCACCTTGACCAAGACATGTGAGGAAGGTGTTTGATGGGGTTAGGTGCCAATGTGGAAATAACTGCGGTAGAAATGGTGTCCCTCACTTCCATGCACCTGTAACCCTTTGGCAAACCATATGGGAGCCAGAAGCGGATGGCTGGTAATTGTATGCTTTTGCTTACTTACGTAGCAACAAAGGAGAGAGCGAGAAGCTAGAAGGCAGCAAGAACGTGAGCAGCGGAGGAGAGAACAAGAGGAGAAGAGGCGCCTGGAGGAACTGGAGAGGAGACGCAAAGAGGAAGAAGAGAGGAGACGGGCAGAGGAGGAAAAGCGGAGGGTTGAAAGGGAACAGGTGAGTTCTCAAAGGCTGTTCCAAAGGGCAGTCATGAAGTCTGACTTTGTGCCGCGGGGTAGCAAAGTAGTCAGCTGTCTGGCCTTAGGGACGACTGCTAATCACTGCCCTTTCGAAAGCTCTTGATGCCAGCTGAGTGATGTGCATGCAGACAGTGGCTTCTGTATGTGTCTTGTCAGGCTCCCTGTGACTGGGGTAAACCCCAAGTATCTGGAGGATAAATAACTTCTCCTTAAATGAAGTATAAGGCCATTGCAAGTAATTTCTTAGGACGAATGTTTGAAATAATCCAGTGGTTAAGCGAATATTGTAATACATATTTGTGTATAATTTCATCTGTGCATGTATAACATAAAAAACCCATTAACGCATTGTTCAGCCTGACATGCTCAGCATTTTTTAAATATGAGGTAAAGTTTTATTTAGAAATTTCTTTTGATTACTGAGCCACCTATACAAACAGAAGTTGATTATGCCCAGTCTCCTTTCATGTTTTTTACTTGATCAGTCTTTGCTATGAGCTTTCAATGAAGAGAAAAATAGTATGAATGGGGACCGGTTTAAATACTTAAACTTCCTGTTTAAAATGCTTACAAACCCTGGAGTTGACTTCCGGTGTGACTCTCAGCCACCAGCCTTGACCATCAATCACGTGCCTTGGGTTTGCAGAGACTGGTGCCGGCCGAGTGCATCACTGAAGCCCCTAGGACTCTGAGCAGTTAACTGAATGAGCATGCATGCTTAATAGTCTAGTTATGTTTTCACCTGGGATCTGCAAAGAGGAGGAAAAAAGGCAAGGTTTTAAGAATTAAATCTAAAAATAATTCCCACAATTTAATTTTAAGAAACGATATGATGGTGTGACAGTCAGTAGGTTTTTTTTGAGTAGCAAGTGTTCTGCATCTCTTACATTAAAAAAATCTAAAATCAGTTTTTCTCTGTTTTCTTTATTGCAAAATAATAACTCCCCGTTACAGTGAGTGTAGTGGGACATAGTTCATGCCCGCATCAAGTGTGGGTTTGTGTACAGATGTGTTGTGTTCTGCTTGTTCATGGGCTGTGTGTCCTTGAAACCTTAGTGATTTGGATAGGCTGTCCCTGTGATTTTTTTTTTTTTTTTTGACAGGCAGAGTTAGACAATGAGAGAGAGAGACAGAGAGAAAGGTCTTCCTTCCATTGGTTCACCCCGCAATGGCCACCAGGAGCCAGGTACTTACTTCCTCCTGGTCTCCCATGTGGGTGCAGAGCCCACGCACTTGGTGCCATCCTCCACTGCACTCCCGGGCCACAGCAGAGAGCTGGACTGGAAGAGGAGCATCTGGGACAGAACCGGTGCCCCAATCCGGACTAGAACCCAGAGTACCAGTGCCGCAGGTGGAGGATTAGCCTAGTGAGCTACGGTGCTGGCCTGTCCCTATGATTTGAAGGCGGAAAACCGATGATTGTACTAACGTGCTTACCAAGTTAACATTTGGTTGAATTTTGCTCAAAGAAGAAGTGAGTTGGGAATCATGCTCCTTCTCAGTCGTGGTTATGTGAGGCCCCGTGAACTGCAAGGGCAGTTACTGGCATGGTGTGGTTGTGGATGGGCTCGTGTTAATGAAAAGGATTTGGAGCCTGGTTAGGGCCCAGGTGTCTGTGCCACTATTCTTATGGGTAAGCTATCCCCAGATTGGCTTTTTTGGAGGGGGGGACAAGGATGTCCTTAAAAAAAAAAGATTTGTTTATTTATTTGAAAGTCAGAATTAGAGAGAAAGATCAGTCTTCCTTCCACTGGTCTCCTCCCTAAATGGCTGCAACGGTCAGAGCTGGGCCAGGGAGAAGCTAGGATCCAGAAGCTTCAGCTAGGTCTCCCATATGGGAGCAGGGGCCCAAACACTTGGACCTTAGGTCGTCTTTCACTGCTTTTCCTGGCTATTAGCAGGAAACTAGATTCGAAATTGAGCAGCTGGGACATCAGACAGCTCCCAGATGGGATGCCTACACCCTAGGTGGCAGTTTAATCCTCCATGCCACAATGCCTGCTCCCAGGAGAAGGACTTTTAAGGATATTTATATGCCATGATTTCTGATATCCAGTATTCTCCCACTTGTAATTATTGGCTAACTAACAGCCCGTGCCTGTGACTATTTTAATTTTAAGGTGTGTGCCATGATGAAAGGGGGTGGTCGGCAGTAGACACTCTTCAGAATTAATCTGAATTTTAGGATAAGATTTATCTACCCACCCCCCTTCGCTGTGCCCTGCCTTCCCAGAGCAGGTAGTTAGGTTTTTACCCCCTGTAGAAAAGGAAAGGACACTTTTTTTGGGGGGTGGGGGGGACAGGCAGAGTGGACAATGAGAGAGAGAGAGACAGAGAGAAAGGTCTTCTTTTGCCGTTGGTTCACCCTCCAATGGCCGCCGTGGCTGGCGCACCGTGCTGATTCGAAATCAGGAGCCAGGTGCTTCTCCTGGTCTCCCATGGGGTGCAGGGCCCAAGCACTTGGGCCATCCTCCATTGCACTCCTGGGCCACAGCAGAGAGCTGGACTGGAAGAGGGGCAACCGGGACAGAATCCAGCGCCCCGACTGGGACTAGAACCCTGTGTGCCGGCGCCGCAGGCGGAGGATTAGCCTATTGAGCTGTGGCACCGGCCCAGGACATTTTTATTAGCAAAATGTTTCTTGCTTTTCAAAGTTGTTTCATATGTATCTTGTATTTAAGTTTCACAAAAGCTCTTGAGCATTGGGAGAGGAGGTTTTTGACTCTCATTTCCCAGAAGTGAAGCCTAAGACAATGGGAGGTTCAGAGAGTGCTAGAGCTAGGGGAAGGGCTGTGTCCGCTGTAATACGCACACAGCTCCAGTCTTCCTTCCAGAAGTGAGTTTGGGTGTGTTCACCTCTGCATCGGGATGCAGGTTGATGACTGTGTTGAGGGAGAAGAGAATCACCCCATCCAAGGCTCACTAGAAGCCGGAGCAGGGTTATTTGTAGGCAGTGGCCTGGGCCTCAGCCTTCAGGGAGCAGTCGTTCCAGGTAGCATCTGGATCACCTGAGATAGCACAGACCATGCTTGTTTTCTTTTCTTTTTTCTTTTTTCTTTTTTACAGGCAGAGTGGACAGTGAGAGAGAGAGAGAGAGAGAGAGACAGAGAGAAAGGTCTTCCTTTTGCTGTTGGTTCACCTTCCAATGGCCGCCGTGGCCGGTGCACCGCACTGATCCGAAGGCAGGAGCCAGGTACTTATCCTGGTCTCCCATGGGGTGCAGGGCCCAAGGACTTGGGCCATCCTCCACTGCACTCCCTGGCCACAGCAGAGAGCTGGCCTAGAAGAGGGGCAACCGGGACAGAATCTGGTGCCCCGACCAGGACTAGAACCTGGTGTGCCGGCGCCGCAAGGTGGAGGATTAGCCTATTGAGCCACGGCGCCGGCCCCATGCTTGTTTCTAATGTTAGGTAAGTTTTGGTGAGCCAGGCTTGTTACAAATAACAGCTGAGAAGCAGACAGGAGTCAGAGCCCAGTGGTGCCCTCCTTGAAAGCTGTGCGTTTGTGTGTGTCAGCCGTGTTCTAACAGAAATGCTTCCATGCCTTTATACACATCGTTGGAGCGCATTGCGCATTTATCAGACTCCTTGGGTCTTATTGGCCAATTTGAAATTCTTGGATAAATCCTTAGCCAGAGATTGCTCTCTTTAAGTAGTCACTCCTCAGAGAACTGTCACGAAAGATGATTGGAGCAGCTGCTTCTCGGTGCCCCAGTCCTGTGGTTCCGATGCCGTCTTTGGGGATAAATTGACTGCTGGGTACTTTCTGTGTGACAGGAGTATATCAGGCGGCAGCTGGAAGAGGAGCAGCGGCACCTGGAGATCCTGCAGCAGCAGCTGCTCCAGGAGCAGGCCATGTTACTGGTAACGCCCACCTCTGTCCTGTCTGTAGTGCTGAGGCTCACATGTGCCCCCCCCCACCCCCTGAGTCCCGCCTCTGTCCTGTCTGTAGTGCTGAGGCTCACATGTGGCCCCCCACCCCGAGTCAGGCAAGCCGTGGTGATCACCGGGCCCTTCTGCTTCGGCTTGGGCTGCCAGGTTCAAATGGAGATGTCCTCTGGAGTCTCACTGCTTGGGGCACATTGCAAGGTGGCTTTCATTTATGAACTTCCCGTTAATGAGTTAACTGTTCTTGTTTGCTGTACAGACAAGTTTTTGACAGAATTTCACATTCAGTGAGCAAACTAGAATGCCGTTACTATAGGTTCACAGCACAGGCTTTAGGATTTTTACCTGATACATACACCACGGAAACCGCCATTTAATTGAATTGTGCCTTACTCTGTCCGGTTCTATTATGGTTAGTGACAGCTGTCAGATTTTTTCCACAGGTAATATGCTGTTTGAAATCTCAGCCATTTTGCCTTGCCATGAAACAGGGTGGGGGGGGAGTATTGTCTTTTAAAATAAAAGGTTGCGAACAAATGCAAAGAAAAGGCGAGCTCTGCAGTGTCCCGTAGATTTAGTGTTATCCTCTCCCTCTCCAAGGAGTGCCGATGGCGGGAGATGGAGGAGCACCGGCAGGCAGAGAGGCTCCAGAGGCAGTTGCAACAAGAACAAGCCTATCTCCTGTCTCTACAGCACGACCACAGGAGGCCGCCCCCGCAGCTCCCGCAGCTCCCGCAGCAGCCACCCGTGCAGCAGGAACGGAGCAAGCCGGCCTACCACGCTCCCGAGCCCAAGCCCCACTACGAGCCCGCAGACCGCGCTCGAGAGGTATCCCCTCCCCATTCGCTGCTAAGAAATTGAGGTTCAGAGAACTGGAGGGACTTGCCCAGGGTGTCCTATCTAGTTAGTGCTTTTTGCACAAAGAACCAGAGTGCCCTGCTTAACAAATCTCAGAAGAATTGCAAACTAAACTAAAAAAGAATATGGTGTGGTGGAATCGTTCTTAAAAATGTAAGCGGGAGAAATGATGATCTGGTTAACGATTTTTCCAAAGCTGGTAGGCTTGTACTGACTCCACCGTCTTGATTTGTTACTGAGTTAGTGCCTTTGGGCTGGTGTGCCTCCAGCGCTGTGGGATGCTGGCCTCTAGGTGGCGTCGTCCCACTGTATCTGCCCTCAGAAGGAGCCGATTCCAGGGACAAGTGTTCCGCCTATTTTTGATGGAATGAAATGTGTTTTGGATTACTGATGATAGTCTTTAATCTTTTGGTTTAGACTAATTGTTTTTCAGTTTTTCATCATATACAATCCTAGAATTCTGGGCAAGGAGCTCTTACAAGCTGCCTCACTCAATTTTTATCATCAGAAGTATTTTCTTTATTTTGAATCAAAGCCTAGCCTGCTTGATCTGCACCCTGCCTGCCGTTGCCCTCTCTTTGCTTGTAGCTGAAGAGAACAAAAAGCTTGTCTTGGAGTTCTTTGTCATCTGTGCTTTCCCCTACTAACCTGGACTTATGTCTTCTAATTCTCTGATGCAGGTGGAAGATAGATTTAGGAAAACTAACCACAGCTCCCCCGAAGCCCAGTCTAAGCAGACAGGCAGAGTATTGGAGCCGCCAGTGCCTTCCCGATCAGAGTCTTTTTCCAATGGCAACTCCGAGTCTGTGCATCCTGCCCTGCAGAGACCCACGGAGCCACAGGTAGCAACAGCCAGCCCTGCTGTGCATGGAGGAGACCGTGTAGTGCCCACCCAGCTGTGGGCCTGCTTAGAACACCCACATGTAAAGGAGAACAGAGTAGCAGGATAACTGTAGGATAACAGAGGACACAGCTTTGCTCTGTTGATAGCAAAAAAAGGATTTTTAAAAAATCATTAATAATGTCAAGAGTCAGTGATTTCTTCTAACTTTCTGCCTCTAACTCATTTGTTTCCTTTTTCTAACACAAAGCTTTTTAAATTAGTTTCTCTAGAGAATTCTTATTAAAAGCACAAAGAAGGAATATCAGAGCTTTTTCACCCAAGCATTTTGTAAGTAAGTGCGTGCCCTGCGGTTCCTGGCTTCTCTCCGGTCCCCTGGGTGGACCTCAGAGAGCCAACACACCCCGAGAGGCCATGTCAAAATCATGGATCTCGCCCTATGGATATTTTTCTGAGAAAAGGTCTTTTTATCGAATTCTCAAAGGTCAAAAACACATTTTTTTATTTAATTCACCAAGAACCAAAAAACATTTAAATCCAGTGGGTCAAGTGTGGATTTCCCTGAAGGATAGGTCAGGGCAAAGGTTGTGACCTCGCCTTAGGTCAACAGTAGCAGGCTGCCTTGTCTAGGTGTTAGGTTGAGTGTTGTGTGGTTAAAAGAGAGGCCACTGCACTGTCTGGAGGGGAGAATGAATCGCACAGATTACCCAGTTCAGGGATCCTCGAAATCCAAGAGACCTGATTCCCATCCTCCTGCCGAAAGTAACTGACATTTAGACATCTTCTTTGGCTGCTGTGTGTAATCCGGAATGTTAGGAACAAGGTTGAGTCCGAGTTTATTTCTTCCTGATGTTTGCCTGTGTCTAGAACAAAAGTTCATGTTGCTGTGTCAGAAGCAGCTGTGGTGTTCTAGAAAGCAAGAGCAAATGAGAATTTGAATCTGTTTACACAATAAATAATCTCTTGGGAGATAGGAAGAAAGAAGAACCAGGACTGGAGCGTAGGAGATGTGAGGGCGGTTACAGGATCTTAGCTTCTGCAGCCCCAGACAGCTGACTTGCCTACAGCTGGACACTTCCAGAGTGCGAGGAAGGCAAGTGGGGACGTGGAAAGGGAAGAGCGGGGAGACCAGTAATGTGGGGTTGATGACGCCCGCTCCTCAGCAGCTTTGTTCTGTCTCCCGGGTGAATTTGGAGAGCACAGGATCAAAGCTTCTGTTCTGCAAGTTAAACCTACCATCTATTTGGCTGCTAGCAGTTTAGAAAATCCAGGAGTTCCTGAATTTTGTGGACTGATTTTTACATTTGTGGTTAATTAATGTGGGACCTGGAAATTGTCTTCCCTTATCTAACCTGAAGTTGGTTGAAACAGTCTTAAGGTGAAACTGTGCATTTAGGCCCTTTTAAAAAATTTCAGGTAATGCTTCCCCACCCCCTGAACATCTTAAACGTTTTAGAAGTCCAGTGTGAGTCTCACCTGTAAATCATAGAAATGATACACCTGGAACTAATACCACATCTTACATTTGGAAAGGTTGAACAAATTGTGATTTGGGATTTTCAGTTTTCATTAAATAGGTTGATGTAATAGATACATAGCTATAATTATATAAATTGCAATACTGAACAATTATTTTAAAATAGTAAAATATGAATTAATTAATAAACACTTTGTGGATTATTTCAGGGATTATTTTCCCAATTTAAAAGCAAGCCCAAAAACTCAGTTGAGGAAAAATTGTTGTATTTCTTAATTGTGAAGTAGATGGAATACCCCAGTCGGGGAATCCACTGTACTGAGTACGTTTATAGAAATTGTAGTATCTTTTTCATAACGAATATGAAGGTGTGTAGATATACCTAGTTGTGACTGTTTTGAGACTTGGCCAAAATAAGAGAAATTCCTGTATTTAATAAGTTATCTGTTTTTAGATTATACTGTTACAATCTGTTGAGTCATGGGAGGGGTGGGGGTTGTCTTCACTCATAAACATGCTGTTTGGGTGTTCCTGGTCCGAGACCTCACGCTACCAGGTCGAGCAAGGATGGCCAGGCGTGCCTGCCTCTTGGGCAGTGTCCTTTATCTTAGTAGAACTCTGGCTTCCTGTGCTTCGCCCCCTCTGCTCTGACATGCTTCCCCCCTTCCCAGTAAGTCTGTAAGGCTCTCTCTAAAAACTCTTCACACTTAACTGCTATTTGGAATGTTTGGGTATTAGAAGTTTTCTGTATAAATGTGCATTTGTCCTTTCTATATACCGCGTTCCTCTGACCACTTCTTTACCTAGAACGTAACTGTTTTGCTGCTCGGTTTACCTAATACTGTACTGCCCCAGTTTGCATTCCCCCTTTGCCAGTTCCCGCTTTGGATTTGGTATTGACCAGAAAAGCCAGTTTTATGCAGAACGCATTGAATGTTTTGTGTTTTGTTCTCTTGTAAGGTACAGTGGTCCCACCTGGCATCTCTCAAGAACAATGTTTCCCCTGTCTCGCGATCCCATTCCTTCAGTGACCCTTCTCCTCCCAAATTTGCACACCATCATCTTCGTTCTCAGGACCCATGTCCAACTTCCCGCAGTGAGGTGCTCAGTCAGAGCTCTGACTCTAAGTCGGAGGTGCCTGACCCCACCCAAAAGGCTTGGTCTAGATCAGACAGTGACGAGGTGCCTCCAAGGGTAAGGAGCAGAAAGGCAGATGTGTGCTGCTTTGTCCTTTTTGTTATTTAAAATATATATATCTATATTTATTTTTCTTAATTATGGGTATGATGACTGCACCAGAATTAAAGGGGCAATGAAATTTCAAAGGAACTTTTACAGTGGGGAGAAGGTGCCATAGTTCGGCAGTATTTTGCCAGTAGCCAGTTAGCTTTTTATTACTGTTGTTAATGCTTTACCTAAAAAATAAGGTAGCAAAATGATTTGCAAATTTTAGAATCTGCTTCTAGAACAAAAAAAATCATAATTTATTTTAGCAATTTGCATTTAAGTTCATTCAGAAGTTATACATTATTTTGCAAAATTAATATCAAAATTTCACAAAGTTCTTTCAAGGAAAAAAATTAACATAAAAATCTTAAAGAAAATGGTTTTTTTCTTATCAAACTGAAGAGTTTTTTGACTTTTATAATTGCTTAATGGAAAATGAACAAAAGAACACATTTTAGCTTATTTTTTTCTCCACTTGGAATTTGCTTCCTCTGAATATTTTCTTGCTTCCTGCCAGTCTTTGCTTCCTGCTGATCCATTTGTAGACCATTGTTTGGTTTCTCTGAGCTTATTTCCTTGATTCCTACATTATCTCAGCAGAATGACTGTGCATCTCCTGCCACCCAGCTTCCATGCACACAGGATGTAAAGGTTGCAGGGCATGGAGGGGCTCCTTGGATGCCTTTTTTCTCCCCCGTTAGATCAGTGCAGGTCCAGGGAAGGGTTTGGGTCGGGGTGGAGTGGTGATAGGAAGATCAGTATAATGAGGACTGCCGTAGATACATGTTTTTCCAGGGAGATCTTTTTTTTTTCTCCTCATATTTTCAGTAATTTAATTGCTTTGTTTTCTACCAAAAGGTTCCTGTGAGAACAACATCTCGTTCCCCTGTTCTGTCCCGTCGGGATTCCCCACTGCAGGGAAGTGGACAGCAAAACAGCCAAGCAGGACAAAGAAACTCCACCAGGTATGAGAAGTGAAGGTTAGGATCGTACTGTGCAGTCTGCAGTCTCCTACAGTCCTGTGCTTTCATAAAAGCACTTGCAGTCAGACCAGTTCTGAGGCAAAGAGATTATCAGTTGTGAAAGAGAAAAAACTGCTTAAGATCCATTAACTTTAATAACACAAAGTTAATCTGTAGTAAAAAGAGAATTTGACTCTGGGATGTGTATTGTAGTAGTTTCAAAATGAAAGCCACCTACCTGTAAGTGTAAATGGAGAGAGAACAGCAGGGAAGGAAGTTGTGATCTGAGGATGCTTTTTATCTAAAGGATGTCATAAGGCCTTTGGACTGGTAAAGAAATGACACACAGATCACTCAGGAAAGTCTGCAGTAAGCTAGTAAGTTAATCAAACTAGTATCCTTTTTAGGTCTTCGAGCTGCTGTGTCCAGTGGAGTAGCCATTCAGCTACACGAGGCTTCGTAAATTTGAATTTAAGTTAATGAAAGTAAAATTAAGAGCTCATTTCTTTAACTGCACCAGCCACGTTTCAAGTGCCTTTACAGCCACATGTATCTAGGGCTATGATACTGGACCCCTCAGAACATTTTGTCATCACAGGAAGTTCCACTGAGCAGTGGTGTCCTGAAAGAAAAGACCATCCTATTGATTGTTTTGTGATTTGATCATCATTGAGCTTGTAAAGTTAGTCTGCTGCACATGGAAGCTAGGTCAGCTGGGTGATAGTGCAATGACCAGGGTGGATGGTGGCCATCTGTAACTAAATCTGCGCCATCAGTTCTTCCCTAACAAACGTGCTGTGAGTCTGTCCTTGGCAAGAATCCTTCCCAGCCCAGGTTGTCTGTCACGTTCCCAGCATAGCTCAGACCAACAAGTACCTTGTTGTCTGTATGTGAGAGCAGTAGTGGGTGAGTTAGTTCAGCTTAGGAACAGAAGATAACTTGTGTACAATTATCCAAGTATAGTTTTTTCATAATAGGAAGAACTGAGTTTGTAGCTGTGACCAAAATGGTGATAATTCTAAACTGAGTGGTTATACTTTGTTTCACTTCTAATGGAGGTTTTAGGCCTGCTTATGGTAGGCTATCACTGAGGGTTTTGACTTTTTAGAATGAGATAAACTCATTGAATAATGTCATCCCAACTTTTGGTGAATTTAGTGTTCAGTAATGTCTACAGGCTGCTTTTCTCATTGTATTTCAACCTATGACATGCACACGTGTTTCTAATTTGGTGCCACATATTGAAATGATGCATCAACTGTCCCCCCCTTTCCACCCCTCCACCCCCATTTTTTTTTTAAACAGTAGTATCGAGCCCAGGCTCCTCTGGGAGAGAGTGGAGAAGCTGGTGCCCAGGCCTGGCAGTGGCAGCTCCTCAGGGTCCAGCAACTCGGGATCCCAGCCTGGGTCACACCCTGGGTCTCAGAGTGGCTCCGGAGAACGCTTCAGAGTCAGATGTAGGTGGCCTCTCCTTCTTCTTCTCCCTGCTGATAACCTTGGGCTGGGATCCGTGTATTGGAAACACTTTTTAATCTGTAAAAAGACTTGTGGTTTGCTTGTCGCCGCATGCCACAAAATGGTTTTAGTGTAAGTAGGTAGTGACACTAAATTTTGAGAGCTTTATATATGCCTAGTGCCTGATACTATTAACTAACTTGTCCAAGACAATTAGCTAAATATCTGAACTGGGATTTTGAACCCATTTCCCAGGACTGCAGAACTTACACTGTTATTTATGTTGGTCGTTTTAATCTACTCATAATAATAGAGTAGTGAAAATTCCTTCTTCTTTGTTATTGGGATAACATAACACTGTAGTAATTGTGAGCACATTGTCAAGGAGGATGAGCTGATAGAATTTTTTTTTAAAGACTTATCTGTTTATTTTAAAGGCAGAGTTAGAGAGAGAGAGAGAGATCTTCCATCTGCTGGTTCACTCCCCAACTGGTCACAAAGGCTGGATCTGGGCCAGGCTGAAGCCAGGAGCCAGGAGCTTCTGGGTTTCCCATGTGGATTCAGGGGCCCAAGGACTTGGGCCATCCTCTGCTGCTTTCCCAGGAGCATTAGCAAGGAGCTGGATCAAAAGTGGAGTAGCCAGGACCTGAACTGGCTCCCATGCGGGTTGCCAGCACTGCTGAAGGTGGCCTAACCTGGTGTGCTACAGTGCCCAGCCCAGTTGGAAGATTTTAATTAAGGCATCAGAAAGATTGATAAAGTGCTCCCGTCACACTTTGCCTGGGTACACCTCCTGTGAAGACCCTGCCCACGAGTGGGTGGGGCTGACGGTGGGGGGTGAGGGAAGGGATGAGTAGAAGCTAGGGCAGGTTTGTTTCATACACCTGTGTGTTCATATATGTCTGTCTGTTTTGTCTTCGAACTCAACAGCATCATCCAAGTCTGAAGGCTCTCCATCTCAGCGCCTTGAAAATGCAACTAAAAAGCCAGAAGATAAAAAAGAAGTGTTTAGACCTCTCAAGCCTGCTGTAAGGATGACATAAACTCAGTTTTACTTATTTTAGTCTTGAATGAGATCTTTCTCTTAAAAAAATGTATTGAGAGGTTTATAGCTCTTTCTTTTGGGGTCTTCACAGATTGAAGGAATTCCATGGACTAATCTCACCCCCAGACACAATCATGCCCCTCTCCTTAGACATTTATTTCCTACATAAAGTCCTCAGCAGGATATAACCTTCACCTCTTTTTTAAAGATTTATTTATTTATATGAAAGGGTTACACAGAGAGAGAAGGAGAGGCGGAGAGAGAGAATCTTCCATCCACTGGTTCACTCCCCAGTTGACTGCAACAGCTGGAGCTGGGCCATTCTGAAGCCAGAAGCCAGGAGTTTCTTCTGGGTCTTCCACATGAATGCAGGGGCCCAACGACGTGGGCCATCTTCTACTGCTTTCCCAGGCCATAGCAGCAGAGAGCTGGATCGGAAGTAGAGCAGCCGGGTCTCGCACTGGTGCCCATATGGGATGCCGGCACTTCGGTGGCAGCTTTACCTGCTATGCCACAGTGTTGGCCCCGATAAAACCCTTTTTCTAGTGTTTAACCATATCCTTTGTGGATAGCCTTACCAAGGTCACTGAACAGAGTAGTTTCTATTCAGTGAAATTGTCTTGTACTGAAAGAGACACTTCTAAAATGCTAGACAAAGAAAAGCCTTTGTATCTCTTCGCTTGGCGTTAACCTCTGTTTACTTGTAAGGAGCTGAGCACTTGCAGTGCTCACTTTGAGAATACACTTGTATTCTTGGACTTACCTGTTGCCTGACCGCTGCTCTGTGGCACCTGGGATGATAGCCAAGCCTGCTTCTCATGCTTCTCCTGTGCTCCTGCCGGCTTGACTGACCGTGTTCACACTGGGGAATTTTAAACCTGCCAACGTGGTGATTTCCTGCTCCAACTGATTTCTGTACTTCTCCCCCTCCCTTCTTTCTGCTGCACTTTCTTTGACTGCTCATTCCTCATCAACGATGGCCTCTGGGACTCTGGAACTTCCCTGTCCTGAATGAAGGGTGAAGTGGTAAGTCCTGTGTGTGCAAGGTGCAGTGCTTTGAGCTTCAGTGTTTGGAGCTGCATTCTTTCTCCTTGCTCAGCTGGCCTTTCTGTTCTATTCCCGAATTTGAAAACAGACCTTTACTTTAGCTTTCTTAACACATTAAATTTGCTGCTTGCATTTATTATTACTCGTTATTTAGAAAGATATAGATGTAGCCACAAAATAGCCAGACTTGAGACCCAGCACCTGTTCACTATTATTTTAGAGGGTCACGTTCGCAGCCAATACACATATATTCAACTGATGAAAAGAAGAAAACTAAGAATAAATGAGAAAAGTAGCAGTGTAGCCTGTCTTTTTTTTTTTTTTTTAAACTGTCACAACTTTTGAATGAAATTCTCAATCAGAAAGAAGAGTCTTAGATTTTTATATGAAAATGTAGGGACTAAATAGTAATACCCTTGAAAATTATTTTGAGTGAATTGAGTTTTTTTTTTTTTAAAGTTGTTGATTTATTTGGAAAGCAGAGCGATACAGGGAAAGGCAAGAGACCTTCTGTCCTCTGCTTCACTTCCTAAATGCCTGCAATAGACAGGTCTGTGCCAGGCCAAAGCAAGGAACCTGGAACTCCATCCAGGTCTCCTGTGTGTGGATGGCAGGGACCCAAGCACTTGGGCTGTCACCTGCTGCCGTTAGCAGGAAGCTGGATTGGAAGCAGAGCAGCCAGGGCCCCACTAGGGGATGCAGCTGTTCTAGGGGTGGCTGAACCCTCTGTGCCACAACACCCGCCTCTTGGTTGAGTTTGTAAGTGTTTTAATATAGAAAAGGGAAATGAAGCCCTTTTTGTATAAATTTCATTACGATTTCTTTTCTTTCGGATCTTCACAAGCATTGGTACCGTTCCAGGGAAATGTGGGTTATCTGGAATGTGGGGCAACCCTCTTGACCTTTTCCCACAGCACACAGGGTCGCAGCTTGCTTCCTTCAAACAAAGGCCATAAAGTTGTTTCAGGAGGTGACAGGTTATTAGCAGTCAGTAAAGCAAGGTGTGAGTGGTTACTGGTGCTCACCTCACTCATCTCTCACTTTCTTGTAGCACTGGAATTTTTAATAATAAAAGAGAAAAAAGTAAACTCCAAAAATACTTTAAATCAGACCTATTGAACGAAAAGCCTGCTTTCTAGATGGGAAAGGTGTCATACAGATAGATGTCTTTACATAGTGAGGCCAAGGTTCTGCTGTACATTTATTGGTCTAGAATTTTGCTTTATTATATTTGAAAACTTAAAAGAGAATTCTATCCACTTACCATAAGCAGGTGTTTTGTGTGTTTATTGTTGTGGAATTTGAACTATATTCATCATCCCTGTCCTTTTTTTGGTCTTTTCTGATTTTTTTCTGCCATTCACTCTTTTTTTTCCTGTCAAAAGCTTGCCGTCATATGAAACTGGAAAATATTCTGAACTTCTATTTCCTCAAAGTGACACTGTGGCTATGTATTGATAGTTCTTCCTGTTTTCTCCCCTGCACCCCTTGCGCGTTAGGATTTGACAGCACTGGCCAAAGAGCTTCGAGCTGTGGAAGACGTGCGGCCTCCTCACAAAGTGACCGACTACTCCTCTTCCAGTGAGGAGTCCGGGACGACGGACGAGGAGGAGGACGACGTGGAGCAGGAAGGGGCCGACGAGTCCACCTCGGGACCGGAGGACACCAGAGCCGCGTCAGTCCCTGCTGTAGCTTGGACAGGATGAGGGTGTTTCCACTGGGCCTGCTTTCTGCCCTGCGCGCGACTCCGCGGGCACAGCAGCAGACAGCTTTCGTGCCCCCCTCCCCCGTTAGAGTGTGTGCCCCTGTCGGCCCTGCCCCGATACCCCGGTGTACATGTTATTTTTTCCTCTAATCTGAGGAAGCGGTGGAAGAGACCTCTCAGTTTGACAGGACTCTCAGTTGCCCGAGCATTCCTCCTGGGTGTTTGTTCCGAAGCGCAGTGGCTGCAAAGGGCACGCTTTGCTGAGCTCAGGGCGGAAGCCGAGGAGACTCTGTGCCTGTAACCTCGGCGCAGGAAAGTCTGATCAGGACACCCTTGAGTCACAAGAATGAGGCCATCACTTGTGGATTTTGTCTGTGTAGGTCGTCTCTGAACTTGAGCAATGGGGAAACGGAATCCGTGAAAACCATGATTGTCCACGACGACGTTGAAAGTGAGCCGGCCATGACCCCATCCAAGGAGGGCACGCTGATTGTCCGCCAGGTACCCGCGTCTCCTCTCTGTTGTCAGAGGCTGAGCTTCTCCTGTGGTCATTAACCCTCGCTCCTTCACTCACTCATGCTGTTTCTACATCATCATCTGTTTTCATGTTAACAAGACCCGGGGGGTGTGTTGGGGCCAGGGAGACAGGTGTGGGTTGCATGCCACGGAGGTAGTGCGTAGTCTTCCACCCCACATTGCTGCTCTTGTGCATGTCTGCGGCAGCCCTCATTCGAGCACCACGCTGAGTGTCACGGTCTGTGTCGGAGCGGTAGAAAAGCCACAGGGAAGTCCTTACACAGGCTCTGCTCGAGTGAGAACACAGGACCGGAGCCTGTGGCAGAGTGGCCATGGTGGTTCTGCCAAGAGCACTGAGCTCTGCGGGACAGCCTCGCCATGGCCCCTTGGAAGTCAGAGTTGGGGTGGCCTGTCTTCTGTGCTCCCAAGTGTCTGTGTACCCCCCCGCTGGATAACTGTGTGCCAGCAGGTGTGTCCCGTATGGACCACTAAGCTTTACAGCTCTGTTCATTTCCTACCTGAGACTGTGTCAACACGATCAGCTCCTCGTTTCAATAGAATTGGGCATCCAGCTACCACTGGGGGGCTCTCCCTGGTCGTGCTTCATGCTCTGGCAGTGCGTTCAGAGAGAAAGCAGGGGAAGGCTGGGCGAAACCAGTTCAGAGAAATCCCAGGGGCGGTGATAGGAGCTAATGTGACCGATAAACCAGGTGGAAGGCTCACTGCTTCTGTCCTGGGGCCACCAGAGGAGGAAGTTTGAATTTTGTTGGCGGACATTTGGCGAGGAAGTCTGAGCAGTTCCAGCTAATTTCCTTGTTTTTTTCCTTGGTAATTTAACAGAGTGCAAAGTCCCACAGCACCTTTGACAGAGCAGTGTCAGTAGAGCATAGGCAATGTCAGCAGCGCTTGAGCGAGACAAGTGTGCCTGTTTTTTCTGCAGAGTACAGTTGACCAAAAGCGTGCCAGCCATCATGAGAGCAATGGCTTTGCCGGTCGCATTCACCTCTTGCCAGATCTCTTACAGCAAAGCCATTCCTCCTCCACTTCCTCCACCTCCTCTTCCCCATCCTCCAGCCAGCCGACACCCACCATGTCCCCACAGACACCCCAGGACAAGCTCACTGCTAATGAGGTATGTCTCGCACCACAGCTGGCTGCTTTCCTGGGGTTAGACCCGCAGTGCCTAGGAGCTAGTTTGCAAAGGAGACCTTTCCTACACCCTCACCCCTTCCCTACCCGCTGCTTTCTTCTGTCACCCCCAGCCTTCAAGTAACATGTTTCAGATCTGCAAACAAATCCCTTAACTCGAGAGCAATTTCCCTCCAAACTTGCCAGTTCATTTTTACTTTTCTAGATAAGTGTAGTTGCATGGCTTTGTTTATTCAGGTTATTTGTAAAAATCTAAATCAAATGATTGCTTTGTTTTCAAACCCATTATATATTTGGCATGAAATTATTGTAGTTGTTAACAGAATCTGCCTTTTTCATTGTTTGTATCCAGTAAATAAATTGTAGGCTGGTTTGGTTAAGCAGACTTAGCCTTGTCTGGATAAACATGTTACCTGTACAGGGACCTCCTTCCAACAGGGCTGGACTGTGTTTTTCTCTTTCTGGGGGGTGGTAGTTGGTTGGCTACTCTTGCTTCCACCAACCCTGTTAAAAGGATTTCTGTACTTGAAAATTCACAGTCATTCAGAATTCAAGGAGAGGCTAAATGCTTTTCAGGGAAACCTAGAAAATCAGGACGTTAAGCAAGGACAAAGGTCTTGAGCATGCTTTTAATTTAAAATTTAGTGTGGGAAATCTGTGTGCTCATTCATAGGCTTTGCTGTGGTGCTTGGTCTGGGTGCTGGCTGGGTGATTCTTTGCTCTTTGAATATGATTATGCACAAGTGCTGTGACTTGGCGCACCTTGAGCACTGTGTACTTAATTAAACAGTGATGTGATTTCATGGGAGATTGGTTTAAATGCATTTATGTGACAGTAGAGGGAGACTGGAACTGACATGTAGCTTTAGCCAGCTGCGTTAACATAAACACCGAACTCCCTTCCCAGTGCCTGCTGTGGTTCCCTCGTTAGAATAAGAACGGTTCTCTCCTTAGTAGCAGGCACAAGTTGACTGCTTTCCAGGCAGGCTTGGCATCAGATTGGCCATTGTCTGGATTGGCCACTGACCCATCTGCCGGGAAGGGTAGCCTGCTGGGTGGAGAGGGGCGGGGAGTGCGGGAGGGCCTGGGCTTCAGGACGTGATAGCCTCAGGTACCCTGGAGGGGTGAAATGTAGTGGGATAGAAGCACTTGACCTTTGCTCCCAAGATGTATATCCCTCCTACACTCACACTCCTCCTTACGTTTATATTTTAAACTGTGCTCCATTTTGCTCTAATGTACAGTATTTTACTATAACCTTTAACTCACTAAACTAGCAAGTTTATTTTTCTGTTTGTTTTCTTTTAATCGTCATTACATTTCCACTTAACAATTTGTTTCACTTTCTTGTGTTTTTTTTTTTTTATTTTTATTTTTATTTTTTGTCTTAAGTTACATTATTAACTGAAACACTGGTGCTCCTGAAAAATCAAAAGGATATGCTTTGTTTTGTCGTTTGCACCTTTCGCAAATGAGCCGCCAATTGGCGTGGGTTTAACAGTGATACATCTGGAACCACGGAGCCAAAGCTTCTGTAGCTTTCTGGCAAGAGGCTCAGTTTAACATAAGATTTGCCAATGTTACAACATAGATTAATTGGACTTTTTTGGACAGGATTACAAGTAAATTCGGAAGTTGATGACTTGAGGCCCTTTCAGGCCTCCTTTAGGAGTCGTCATTATAAGTTATTTAGTTTTTTTTAGATACTCCTGGCAGCACGAAGTGCAGGTTTCATTGGTGGCTTGCAGAGTTGCTGCGTGCGTGAGCAGTTCATCAGGAAGCAGTGCTTCTAGGTGCAGTGACCTGCTGGGCGCGCTGTGCCTGTGCGGCACTGCCAGCAGCGTCCTGGGAGTGAGGCAGGAGGGACAGGGCTTTGTACTGGGAAGTAGTGCAATGTGGAGGGGATTCAGACTGGTTTTTTTTTTTAATGTTCATATTTTTAAATGTCATTTGTATTAATAAAATTGAAATTTACATTGCAGACTCAGTCCGCTAGTAGCACACTCCAGAAACACAAATCTTCCTCCTCCTTTACACCTTTTATAGACCCCAGATTACTACAGATTTCTCCATCTAGTGGGACGACAGTGACTTCTGTGGGTAAGTATAGTAGCAGCAAGAATGTCGCTGGCAAACAGGACTTGGTCACTGTGCGTTGCTTTCAGGTGGCTTAGGCATGGCATCATGGTTGTGCACAGGCTCAGCCTGGGGTACAGAAGCCCCATCCCACTTGCATCGCCTTGTTTGCAATGAGCTGCATAAGTCAGTGTCCTTTTTCCATATACATTCTTACAAGTTTCTTCTTGACAGAGAAAGATTGTTTACTGGACATATAATGGGGAGGGAGGCAGATGTAATAAATACAGGTTCAGAAAATAATTTCCTATGTGCTGTGTTTCAGTGGGATTTTCCTGTGATGGAATGAGGCCAGAAGCCATAAGGCAAGATCCTACCCGGAAGGGCTCAGTGGTCAATGTGAATCCGACCAACACAAGACCACAGAGTGACACCCCTGAGATTCGTAAATACAAGAAGAGGTTTAACTCTGAGATTCTGTGTGCAGCCTTATGGGGTAGGTATCTTGCTACCGGTCTGTTTCATTTCTATTCTATAGGGTGCGAGGGTCTTCTAGAAAAATACCATTTTAGGTTGTCAGGGGAATTGTTCTTAAAGGATTTCTGACAGATATGGCGGAAGACTCCTATGATGCCCACCCCATACCTCCTGTAGGTTGGGTGAGTGGTACGTTAGAATGATGTGCTACGTGTGTGTGCTTGTACCCATTTCAGCAGACAAATAGTGGAGAGAATGACCAGTTCCCCTTTGTGTGAAGAAGAAAAGTAAAAAGATGAGGCTAACACTGGTCCATATTTGGGGGAATGAAGAACTTCATTGAGGCTTGGAAAAATAGGATGATGACTTAATACTTGACATTGAAGAAAGGCTAGTAAAATACCTAAATACTGTATAAAATGGAGTATCAAAATACTACATGAAAATGTAAGCTTAAAATAGTCTTTTTGATTCAGCTCCGTCAGCAAATGTTTGTCTTTTCTGCAGATAGATAAACTGCTTTAGAATTAACTTATCTAGGAATATGGAAGAAAAGCACTAAGAATAGTGTCCAGTTTCTACTTAGTAGCAATATAGTAAGAGCCAGATTGCTAGTGTCAAAATAAAAACGTATGAAATGAGTGAAACATGGCATATGTTAGATATTAATTTCTCTTATATAGATAGTAAATCTGCTTTTAAATTGAATAGAAGTTCTTTTTCCACAGTATTAACTCACAAACTGAAATGTGTGATATTTCCATTAAAGAAGAAATGGCTTGTGAAAACCCAAATGGCTTGCCATAAGTTTAGCAGGTATCAGGCCATAAACTCGAATTCAGTGTGATGATATTGTTTCACTTATAAAATGTCATTTTCATCCATAACTGCATGATAGCTGCTACTGCTTGTGGCTGTTTGAGTGACCTAAGATAGAAGGTCCGGTTTCTTAGTTTCACAGGCTTAGTGGCCGCACGTGGCCATTGTCCAGTGGGCAGTGCATGTAAAGAGCGTTTGTTACACCACAGAAGTTCTGTTGGACAGGGCTGGTCTCGAATGGCATGTTTTACAGAGCGTAACTTCAGATGATGGGCGGAGTCGGGAGCCACATGCATGTTTAAGCCTTTTCAGTTGTACACATTCTCATTTTGGGGCAAAACAAAATGTTTACTTTCATTACAATTACTTTCAAATTCCCGCGGCTTCCTTCAGGTTTTCTGAAGCCAACATTCATGCTTCCTGAAGGGTCGAGGTGGAGATTTGCATTGCTTGCCAAGGAGTGGATTTTAAGTGAGGGCTTTTATCAGGTCACTGCATAATCAGAAACTGTAAATGTCTGTCCCTGGAGCTCATGAGGACCTTTCACGTGTCCCACGTTTTCTGAGGAGCCCAGGGATGGTGCTGGTGCTACTCCAGAGCTGCGGCAGTGCCTTGTGTCTGGCTGTTGTGCATGCGCCTGGCTGTGGTAGTCACTGCTGTTGTCACGCGAGTTTGGGCAGCCATGGCAGGTTCTCCTCTTTCCCAGGGGCTCCTAAAGTTTCTTTCAGTGACCTCAAGGAGTGCCCGGTAGATACTGTCTCCCCAGGTGTTGGGGGAAACCTGCTCAGAACAGAGCAGGGGGCGCTTTGGGAAGGCTGTTTGCTTGTGGCCTTCACGGTGGCTCATTTCAAGAGTCTGGAAATGGGGGTTGCGGGAAAGGGGTGCACTGCGTGCGTGCCATGCTCTCATGAGCCGTGATGCCCTTCCTGTCCTTCCGTCTGCCTGATTAAGCAGTTACTTCATGAGAGCCCAAGTACCTTTATTCCTTGTCAGTGAATGTATTACCCACTTCAGGGAGTCATTGCAGTCATTATCAGGGACTTCAGAAAGTTGATGGACAAGCAGAATTAAAAGATGAGGAACAACAAGATAAGTTTATGTTGGTGCAAAAAGATTTTGAAATCCATACATAATTTTTTCATGATAGCCATTTTCCATCAGCTTTTTGAAATAACCTTATAAGTGCCCAATTCACAAGAACTTTAAGGGAATCTGTGCTCCATGTTACAAAAGTGATTTATAGGCAGTGAAGGTTTCAGACTAAGGAAGCTAGAGCACCTGGGGAAATGAGTGTGATAGAGGGAGAAGTGAGTCGGCTCAAGGGACAGGGGGTCTTAAATGCCAGACTGAGGCTCTTGGAACTTCATGAAATGTGTCGTCTGTAAAGATACTGAATGACTCAACCAGGGAGTTAGGAAGATTTAGCCGATTTGACTGATGTGCAGTCATGAGAAAGTAGACAGAGATTATTTGAACAACCACAGTTAAAGTCTATCCCTTGGGGCTGGCGCCGTGGCTCACTTGGTTAATCCTCTGCCTGCGACACCAGCATCCCATGTGGGCGCTGGGTTCTAGTCCCAGTTGCTCCTCTTCCAGTCCAGCTCTCTGCTGTGGCCTGGGAAAGCAGTGGAGGATGGCCCAAGTGATTGATCCCCTGGAACCCGCATGGGAGACGGGGAAGAAGCACCTGGCTCCTGACTTTGGATCAGCGCAGCGGCCATTTGGGGAGTGAACCAATGGAAGGAAGACTTTTCTCCTTGTCTCTCTCACTATAACTCTACCTGTCAAAAAATTAAAATAAAAAAAAAGTATATCCCTTGCTTATGATTAGAGCAAGAACAGAGGTGAGGGAAAGGAAGAGATAGGGAAGATGAGCCCCCATCTGGTGTTGGTGGCTGGTTTATCTTGGAGCAAGGAATCTGCTTTCAGTGGAAATACATAGTGGGTGGCAAAGCAGGGAGGTGCCCTGTGGACTCATGGTTCCCGAAGTACCACTGGAGCACAGGCTGGGTGGGCTCGGGTGTGACCAGACAGCACCAGAAGCAGAGCAGGTGCATGGAGGCGAAACTGGAATCACACCATGGCAGTAGAATCACAGTGTGTGATCAGAGAGTTAGGACAGGTCACAGGGAGAAGTCACAACACTTCAGTGTGCCGGAGACGTGGAGGGACAAGAACAGAGCAGGTGTTTCCTTGATGGTGGTGGAGAGAGTAGTCTTTGAGAAACATGTAGCTGGGTGATGGGAGCCAAATCAAGATTAACACCATATATAGCTCCTTCTGGAAGTTTGCCAGTGAAAACAGAGAAGGGTGAAACACGAGGAGTCCATTGTATCAGATGGATGTTTGTTCAAGAGCCTCATGGGACTGGCTGGAGGTAGTATCTGTAAAACCAAAGAGACAGTGATCTTGCCGTGTTCTGGGGGAGGTGAGGGAAAACCAGAACCTGGTAGGTGGTGAAGGAGAACAGGGCTGAAGCGCCCTCATTCTTGCTCCTGTATCTTCGCTTCGTTCTGTCTGAGCAGCTGTGCTGCCATCACCATCACCACAGTGTGGTGAGCTGTTGCAGGTGTGATTCCTCTAAGCATTTCCATTTCTGGGTGAGTTAAGGAAGCTGCCCTCTTTTCCAAGTAGGTGGTGTTACCTTACTCAGATCACTCAGCTGTTTACCAAGCAGAGCATAAAATTCAGGCCTTTCTGTGTCCTTGAAATAGGAGTGAATTTGCTGGTGGGGACAGAGAGTGGCCTGATGCTGCTGGACAGAAGTGGCCAAGGGAAGGTTTATCCTCTGATCAACCGAAGACGCTTCCAACAAATGGATGTGCTTGAAGGCTTGAACGTCCTGGTGACCATATCTGGTAAGTGTTTATGCAGTGAAGTAGACTATCTAACACTGTGCACTCAGCTTCAGTCAGTTTACTCTCTGTGCTGGCGAAAGGCCATACGTCTGTATTGTGACTTTACAGTAACGAGAGAGGAAGAGGAATTCAGATGTGATGCACGTGCACACTTGAAGAATACTCTTGAGATAAACGTCAACCTGTGCTTCTCACTGACGTCTCCCACACGCCCTTGCCCCCCTACTCCCTACTGCCTCAGCCAGTGTGTAGGTCTGTGTTGTCCACTCCCTCCCACAGGACTCTTTCCCATCTACTGGTTCACTCCCCAAATGGCCTGCCACAGCTGGGGGCCAGGATAAGTTAGCAAGAACCCAGTTATTTGAGCCATCACTGCTGCCTCCCAGGATCTGTGTTAGCTGGAGACTGAAGTCTAGAGCCAGAGCCATATATCAAATCAGGTACTCGAGTGTGGGATGCAGATGCAGGTGTCTTAACACTAGGCCGGGTGTTCAGGACTCTGACAATCAATGTGACTAGATCAGCATTATAGCGTGTCTTTTAACCTTACATAGATTAACGCTTAGAACTGAAAGTTTTGTTTTTATCAAAAGAACATTTTCTGTAAGATGTCCATTGTAGAAATTAAAAATTAAGAAAGTACTATAGAAAAGCATGTAGGAAAAGTAAAATCATCCAGTTATAGTATTTGGTAAGTTTTTAATTGCCAGTCTTTTAAGTATACATCACACTCAATATATGCACTTATGGAGAAAAATCTGCACAGTGCATTTGGTGGTGTTTCAAACATACAGCAGATAGCAATGAGAATCAGACGATAGCCCTGTGTAGGCTGGATAGGCTTAGCAAGCATTAAGATACATGACTGTACATGCAGTCAGCACTCCCATCCCCGTCTTCCTGCCCATGGTGACCTCTGTCCTGAAGTTAAGTGGATCCATCCCGCTCAAGCCTGCTTGTCCAGCTCATGAGCTTGTTATTAACCCTTTATGCCAAGCCGGCAAGCCTTTCTCCGTTTTGCCCATTTCACGGGCCTGGAAGATACTTTCTTACTGTTCTGCTGTTTCCCTGGAGGTTTATTCCCTTCTTGTAAGCATTTTTCACAGATGTCCTTTGGACGTACGTGTCTATGTTGCATTGACCATAATTTCCTAATAATTTGTGTATTGTTGGGTCAAAAGATAGGCAACATTCTAAGACTTCACACAGGTCTCATAATACCATCAGTGGTATTGATTTATTACATGCCAGTGCCAGCTTGTTTTGTTTTTTAACCATCCATCTTCCTATGTAAGTCTGAATTCGTTATTCTTTTACAACCTTTCCTTCTAACCCATGCCTATACCTAACGATAATTCTGTAGGAGTTTTGAAAGTCCATCTAAATAGCAGTTGAGTTTCTAATAATGTTTTGGTATGGAATGACTTCTCTCAAGGGAAAAACTATTTACTGTTTATAGAATTTTCTTTTGGTTCCTATTGTTAATACTTGTTTTTGAATATGGATGTAAAATATATTTTTTTTCTAGGCAAAAAGGATAAGTTACGTGTCTACTATTTGTCTTGGTTAAGAAATAAAATACTTCACAATGATCCAGAAGTTGAGAAGAAACAGGGATGGACAACTGTAGGGGATCTGGAAGGGTGTGTGCACTATAAAGTTGGTGAGTTCCAGAAGCGTTAGAGAAGTCTTTTGTAGTTCTCATTAGAGTTCCTTAAAATTCACATGATCTTTCAAGCTTGTAGTAAAAAACTGGTTTCTGAAACATGTGGTATATTTCTGGCACCCTGTTTTTAAGACATACTCTTATGTTGAAGTCTCAGCAACAGTGACTTACTGCCTGTGTGCACCTACAACGTGGCATGGGGTGCTGTCCCACTCTGCGTCCTCGCTCTCCCCGACGCCGCTCATTTTGCGAGAGTCTCTTCACCCCCTTTTCCACATTCTTCTCTGTAAATTTGTGGAGCAGGGGAACATCTTTAAGGACGTCTTGCCGGGTGAAAGCCAACCGATTTGGATTTCTTCTTTAAGTCATGGGCTTACTCTTCTGTGAAGAAGACTATGGGGCCTTGGCAGTCAGCCATAGAAGCTTTCACTTTGACCCAAACAGTGATGGCTTCTCGTTTTGAACTTAGTGTGCTGTGCAGAGCCGCTGAGCTCTGGATGAGTGGGTGAGTTCAGCTGGCCAGGTGATGTTCTGTGGCCACTCGTTTGCTTCTCTGTGGTGTGCATTTCGTGATTCTCTTGAAGTAAACTCTTAAAGGAACTAAACCAAAGCCAATTGTTTTTGCATATGAAAAGAATCAAAATAACTGATACCAATGTTGGAAGTAAAGGGGGACATAATGGATTTTAACTGAGCTATAGTTCTATGGAAAAGATGATGTCTTCTAAGAGAATTTAAAGCAGGCACCTAGTGAACATTGATTTTTGCTTGCATCTTTTCTTTTCTGTATGTTATGAAGCTGTGTGCTGTAGTCAGTTCTCCACTGGCAGGGATGTTGTAATCCTTGACATAGTCCTCTTGTTTATGTGGTCTCCCTACAGCCCTCAGCACGTTGGTTCATGATAACTACAGGAACCACTTCAACATTTGGAGGGCTTCTGAGTGATCCTGGAAGATAGTTCTGTGTTGTGTATATGTGAAGTGTTTTTATTTGTTGAGCTATAGCTAAAATCCTCTAAGGCCAGGTTTAATGAGCTAGCTCATAACAGCTCAAATGCATGAGGAGATTATCCTACAGGGGGAGCTAGAGGAAGACATGTTAGACTGTAAAAGGCTTTTCATCAGGACAGAGCAGTGTCTTCAACCATCCGTTCTTACAGAGTGAATCACAAGTGTCTCTGGGGATAAGTGTGGGTGATACCATTCATTTGTTATCTTTATAGTTGGCCCCCAAGGACAGGGGGCCATTGAAAGTACATTTAAGTTGATTAAGTTTAAAATTTATTGTCAGTTGGCACTAGCTCATGGCCACATATGTCTAGTGGGTATTGTTAGCTGTGCAAAAATAAAACATTTCCACCATTGTAGAAAGTTCTCATAAGTAGTATTGATTTGAACAGCTTCCTATTATCCTTTTTTTGTTAATATTAGTTTCAATGATTTATTTGAAAAGTGACAGCTTATGGGGTTTAACAAGGAGACTTACTGAGTTTACAAGGCAGCTGACACGCACAAAGAATCAAGTGTGATGTTAGCTGGCTTATAAAGAAACCAGAGCAGTAAGTCACAAGTGGTCAGGGACCTCTCAGGACAGCTGGTTTTAACAGAGTTGCCTGGCTCTGAGGGAACCAAAACAGCTATAGAAAGGAAGCAGTTATTTTACAGTTGAAAAGAGATTTATTTTTACTTGCGCTCTGCTGGCACAGAACTTTAGTGTGAATCCTAGAAATCCCAGCTCTGCTGGGATCAGGAAGTGGCCTGGAACGGCACTTGGGTTTGTGCACAGATACTTCTGTCCGCTGGCAGGATTCAAGACCCAGTGAGTCTTTTTGCAGAGCCCTCCGTGTTTCTTAGTCCATGTGAGCACCTTGCAGAGCTCAGGGAGACCCTGACCTCGCTCTGGGATCTGGGAGCCAGCTGCTAATTAATCCTGCCGTTTTCCTTTCTGAAGTAGTTTGAGTGATCACTAGAAGACATATTTATGAAGTTTGTAAAAGTTGGCTATAAATTTTTAAGAGTTCCATGTTAATACTTGTGTTTTCCTTTTTTTCCAGTAAAATATGAAAGAATCAAATTTCTAGTAATTGCTTTGAAGAGTTCTGTGGAAGTCTATGCGTGGGCACCTAAGCCATATCACAAATTTATGGCCTTTAAGGTAACTAAGTGCATTGAAAAGTAGCATTAGCTGTGCAAGATACAACCAGTAGTCAGAGAATAAGCTTAAAAAGTCTGAGCACTTAAAATGATGATATGAAAGCTATGTGCTGTTACGGCATATAACTTTGTCCTAAGCATAAGCAAGTCCACTGCTGACGGCTGCAGTAGGCTTAGTACTTTCTGTGCCTTCGGAGGCTGGGAACGAGAGAGCTGAGTGTTGCACTGTCACACTTTGATCAGCGTGGTGATGTGGTAACAGAGGAAGAGGCAAAGCAAGACCACTTCTACCCTCTGGTAAAAGACCTTCACAAACAGTCATGAACGTGGATTAGGGTGTACTTGCATTCCCAGTCATAAAAGTATTCAGCAGGAGCAATTATAAAATCTGTTCAGTACATTACGAATTAAAAATGGAATTACAGAAATTTTTGATGACAAATATGCATTATACATTAAATGGGAAATGCAAGTTAAAATATTTATCATATGACCCATTTTTCTTTAAATAATACTGTAGATGCAATGTCTGAATCTGATGAAGAAGCTAAAATGGATTTGCCATTTTGTGTATCTACGGTTTGAAGAAAGAAAGTGAATGAGCCTGTTGTTTAAGTTTGTTCTCTCTAGAGTTCCTGCCTGCCCTTATTACCATGATGGATTACCTCACTTTGCCTGATATCTAAAGAACTGTGAATAAAATAAAATTAATAGTTGTCAGTGTAAAATTAGTAGTTTTCAGTATAAAATAAAGTCTTCAGTGTATCTAAATAGTTATTTTTGAAAAAAATAGAAAATGAGCAGTTTTGTGTGTGTGTGTGTGTTTTTTTTTATTTTTTATTTTTATTTATTTATTTTTTGACAGGCAGAGTGGACAGTGAGAGAGAGAGACAGAGAGAAAGGTCTTCTTTTGCCGTTGGTTCACCCTCCAATGGCCGCCGCGGCCGGCGCACTGCGCTGATCCGATGGCAGGAACCATAGCAGAGAGCTGGCCTGGAAGAGGGGCAACCAGGACAGAATCCGGCGCCCTGACCGGGACTAGAACCTGGTGTGCTGGCGCCGCAAGGCGGAAGATTAGCCTAGTGAGCCGCGGCGCCGGCTAGTTTTTTGTGTATTTTTAACATATTTTTACAACTTAGCCTAGAGTTTACCCCAAAGCAAATTTATGAGATTCTTAATTGATATTATCCTGATATTACATATTATAAATAATTTAATAACATAATTTCTAAAAGGAGACATAAAACCTTAAGCTAACCTTTGGGCCATTTTAGTATAGGGCAAGAAATTAAGAAGTTTTCTACTTACTTATTTTTAAAAATAGTTCTACTTACTTATTTTTAAAAATAGTTTATATATATTGCAAGGATAAGTTTCAGTTATTTGGGGAATATTTGAATTTTTAAATTGCTTATTGCTTAATTTCTTGGTGAAGCAGTACAAATGGAATTTTCATATTTGTTTAAATCCAAGTGCTATCGAATTGAGATAATTGGTTATAAAATCACGTATTCCTCTGAGATATGGTCTTCATATCTGTTACGTACCAGATACCATACTAGTTGCTTTTATAAATATTACCTATTTAAATCCGTTCTGTTCTCATGTCCCAGTCTTAGGAGTGGTGGGTGTTGGCATTAATGAGGAATGGGCTTTCCAGTATTAAAGACTGGATGGATTCTCAGTGTGGGACTCCTACGATGACTCCTTGCTCCACCATCTGCAAGTGAAGAGTCAAAAGATACGCTACACATCTAGACAAACAATAGGACAGCAGATGACAGAGCAGAATTCTCGGGCTGACTAGGGGGATTTGATATATAACTCTGGAAGAAGTGTCATCCCTATGCTAATTAACAGACAAAAAGATAGTTAAAAACTAATTTTATAGAGTATTTTTGCATATGGTTGCTTGGTATTTGGATAGTCGACAGCCTCGGGTCTGCTTCCTGATCTCTGTTAAGAGCAAGTTCTGCTTTGCCTCGTCTGCTTCTCTCACGATCGCTTCTTTGCAGTCGTTCGGCGAGCTGGCACATAAGCCACTGTTGGTGGATCTCACTGTGGAAGAAGGCCAGAGGCTCAAAGTGATCTACGGGTCCTGTGCAGGGTTCCATGCCGTGGATGTGGATTCGGGATCAGTCTACGACATTTATCTACCAACACACGTAAGAAAGAACCCACACTCTATGGTTGGTTGACTGGCTTCGTTTTGTTTTGACTTTCTCTTTACTCTGCATAGTGCACTAACACTTCCCCTGGGTGTGGGGGTGAGTATTTGAATGATACGCCCCATGCTGAGACAAGCGGAAGTCCACTTTCCTGGCTCTGTGAAGCCCTCCTGAAAACCTCTTAGAATTTGCTTTGACTAACATGGAATGGGTTGGGGACCATTGCTGGCAGGCCCTGTGTGGGGAGTAGCTTCCAAAAGGAGCTTACCGTCCATATATGGCTCAGAGGCCTCAGGAAATGTGGGAGTATGTGACCCGTTACAGGTAGACTTTGGGATGTAAATTGCATGGGTTTTTCCAGAGTGTTCTCTAATGGCTGTATTTATCACCAGGAATATGGTACCAGTGCATTTGCCAAGACAGTGTAGCTGAACACTCTCACAGGCTGGAAATTGCCACAAACATGTTTCCCTGCACTCTGTTCCTCTTCTCTAGATCCAATGTAGCATCAAACCCCACGCTATCATCATCCTCCCCAACACAGATGGGATGGAGCTTCTGGTGTGCTATGAAGACGAGGGAGTTTATGTGAACACGTATGGGAGGATCACCAAGGATGTGGTTCTGCAGTGGGGAGAGATGCCCACATCTGTAGGTATGAAAGTGAAGCCCTCTCCGGGACTCCTGTATTCATCACACCAGTTGTGTGTGCTATTCTAGCGGACACTCAGCAACGGATGATGGAAAGTTAGATTGTACACGTGGAAATAGAGGTCTATTTTAGGACAAAATGCAAATTATTGCATACATTTTAAAACTTTGTTATCGCAGTCTCTCATTTAACCCTTAAGACATTCAATGAGAATAGGGCAGATGTTTTTGTGGAAGTGGTTTACGCTTGAGAGGGGAAGAATCCAGCTAGATGCCCTCACATACAGTCTTCCAGTTTGCAGTCGGTAACAGAGGCTGGTAGTTAATTTCCATACTTCACATTTATATCCCAGAATCATTTGATTTTGTTGCAGTTCAGTCACTGTCTCTGTCTACTTGCCCTTTCTTCTCCCTGCCTTCTCTTATGACTGGATTGATGAAAATCTGTGCGCTAAACTCTAAACTCAGTGGGTCATTTCTCAAGGTAAGTGTGAAAGGCCTAAGGGAAATGAATAGATTTAACCATCGATTCAAGTTACTTCCCAGGGTAGAACAGGCAGTTACAAATGTGAAGTTCCTTATCAACAAAAATCCTTAACTGCTTGGCCTTTAGGAGGGTGTGACATATCTGTCACATTAGCAATGTCATCTTAGGGTGTTGACTTACATTTAATGGTTTCTGTTTTTCCTCTCCCCCATAGCATATATTCGATCTAATCAGACAATGGGCTGGGGAGAGAAAGCCATTGAGATCCGGTCTGTGGAAACTGGCCATTTGGATGGTGTGTTTATGCACAAAAGGGCTCAAAGACTAAAATTCTTATGTGAACGCAATGACAAGGTAATGGTGTCCTTACGGCTTATTTGTAGTTGTTATTATCTTTTAGCAGTGGTTTATTTTCCCTGTGATAAATTCCCTTGATGTTTGATAGATTGTGAAATAAATTCATTGGAGAACATTTTAGACATGACTTTTTAGGTATATTTGTGGGGCCAGAGTGTATTTCATTTGTTTTTGTTATGTGGTTATGGAGGGATTTTTCTGTGTGTGTGTAGTTTTCTTTAGCCCCCCACTAGGTTACGTGTGGAGGCTGTATTTAGTTAGAGGTGGGGACAATTAAAGCTGCTCGTTGAGTTGGATGGGATTTTTTTGTGAGTAGAAGGCCGCACTCGTACTCTTTGGATCGGGTGAGAGGTTCCCCTCTCCTGATGCAATGTTCTGTGCGTTAGTGAATCCGCTTCCTAGCTTGCATGTCAGAAATGCTCAGCAGTAGAAATCATTTTATTTCAGTCCAGGAGCACTCTACCACGTCCCTCCTAGATCCTAGGGCATCAAAGCCCTTTTGCTTTTCAAAACTGTCCCCATCCCTGTCTTCTTCGGGGACCTGGGAGGCCTGCCCTGGGAAGGATGGTGAAGAATTGAGCGGGTCTTTCCCAAGCACAGCCTTCTCTCCTGTCCAGTGAGCTCTAAGGCACTCCAAGGCAACGCATCATGCCTCAGACACTCGCCTCTCGAAGCGCACGTCCCTCTCCTGCTCCATGTTGCAGTACGTTTTCAGCCGTGGCTGACTGTAGGATAAACTTACATACCTGATGCGAGGAGGAAGCACTGCCGTGTGCCCTTGCAGCTAGTCCTCCTGCTTGTCTGCACGTGCCGCACGTGCCCCCACGGCCACCACCCCTGCTCCTGCAGCCCTGAACTCATCTGCGAGCGACGCTCATATTTGCCCCTACATAGTGTCCCCAAGATACGTTGTTACCTTGAAAAGTCTGACTCAGACCTAATTTTGGGTTTTTCAGCTTTTTGGTGTATACTTTCTCAAGTGTATTTCTTATAGCCATAACTAAAATATTCTTTAAACTTTAGGCAATTAAATATTTTTATCAAATATGTTGTATTTTAATATTATTAATAAAAGACACGAGAAGTTCCTTTCTCTGTGGGATCATAGGAATTGATTTTTTACTTGCTCGTTAGAAAGAAATCAGGTATCGTCCTTACTGTTCACTGCCTTTTTCAAATATGCTCATTTAGAATGTGGTAGTATTGGAGGTGGAAAGAACGAACCCACTTTTCACAGTGTGGCGAGGCGGCAGTGCAGCTGACAAGCCTTCATGGTGATGAAAATTGGCTGCAGAGCATCACTCCTTCCAAATTCAGCCTGGCATCATGCCAGAGCTGCTTTTACAAGGGTTTTTTGGGATGTGGGTTCCTTGCACATAGCAGTATTGAAGGAGATGATGGCTTCAGTTCCCCGGGTGGAAAACACGGGAACCCTGCTCCCACAGCAGGTGCTATACGGCTGTGCTAACCCGCTCTTTCCTCTTGACTTTGCAGGTGTTCTTTGCCTCTGTTCGGTCTGGTGGCAGCAGTCAGGTGTATTTCATGACCTTAGGCAGGACTTCCCTTCTGAGCTGGTAGAAGCAGAGTGATCCGGGGATTGTCGGTCTCCAGAGTCTTCAAGATCCTGAGAACTTGGAATTCCTTGCAACTGGAGCTCCACGCTGCACCAGTACAGCCAGGACAGCTGTGTGTGCAGACTCACGTGTTGGGTTCTCCCGTTCCTTCCTTCCCGCTCTGACCAGTTTATCCCTGTTCTTTTCCTTACTCAAAAATAAATCAAGGCTGCAATGCAGCTGGTGCTGTTCGGATCCTACCATCAGGTGCTATACGTGTTTGGGATTGAGCATCAGGCCGGAAAGCAAACATCTTTCCTACAGCTCCAGAATTCCTTGTCTCTGAATGACTCTTGTCTGTGGGTGTGTGAAGGTGGCGACGCTGCACACGCCGTTGGTTTTGTTGGCAGTGGGCACAAGGAGGTGAAGCGTGCCGGTGGAAGGAGCAGTTGGCTGAAGCAGAGAGCAGATTTAATATAGTAACATTAACAATGTATTTAATTGACATTTCTTTTTTGTAATGTGACAATATGTGGACAAAGAAGAAGGTGCAGGTTTAAGAAGTTAATATTTATAAAATGTGAAAGACACAGTTACTAGGATAACTTTTTTGTGGGTGGGGCTTGGGAGGTGGGGTGGGATGGGTTAAGGGGTCCCATTTTGTTTCTTTGGATCTGGGGAGGGAGGGGTCCTGGCCAACAACTCAGTCATTTTTCTGTGTACCAAGTTTTGCCTAAATCATGTGCAGATGGAAACTTTAAAAGAAAAAAAAAAAAAAGAAAATGTGTGCATTTTGTATAATGGCCAGAACTTTGTTGTGTGACAGTATTAGCACTGCCTCAGTTAAAGGTTTAATTTTTGTTTAAACCTAGAAGTGCAACAGCAGTTTTACCACAGTCTGCACTTGCAGAAGAAAAAATTCAAACCACGTGTTTATTTTTTTGCCTACCTCATTGTTTTTAATGCATTGAGAGGTGATTTAGTTTATATGGTTTTGGAAGAGACCATTAATGTTTAATTTAATCTTAATACCAAAACTATGCGATTCCAGTTTGACTGTTAACTTTGTTACAAATCTCAGCAGCACAAGAAAACCCTTCCATGAAGATGGGAAACGGCCTTCGGCTGATGCGGCTTGCTTTCTGCGTTTGGAAAGCAGAGTGCCTCATTTTCCCCAGATGCACCATGCGTGGTTGCTGGGGCCGCTGTAGCCTGCAGCGCCAGAGATCGCATTGTTCCCAGGTTGGGGGTTGGTAGCAGACAGGTGGTCACGTTAGCATAGTCACACAAACTGTTCAATGTTGCAGGAACCTTTTCTTGGGGGTGGAGATATTTCCCTTTTTCTAAAAATGCAATGCACTAAAACTATTTTAAGAATGTAGTTAATTCTAATCATTCATGAAGACAGCATCTTCCTGTGTTTTAGGTGTAATATCGAAGCCCTGGCTTTTCTCGTTTCTCACTTGCTCTCTTGTTCTCTGTTTTTTTAAAACCAGTTTTACTTTGCGAACATGTTCACGGCATTTGCAATAAATGTCTTGGTAATAATCTGTTTCATGGCTTCATGGTCCTCACTCAGCCCCTCCAAGGATGTCCCTTTGTCAGAGTCATGGCTCTGCCCCCTCCCTTTCCTCTTGTCCAGCTCTGAGCGGGAACACTGTGTGATGGCTACTTTCAGCTTCATTCACCAACAGAAGCTGGGTGTTTCAGGGGGGGTCGCTCCTACTCCTTTATGGTGCATTTCTCTCAGCACGAAAATGCGTCCCCCCATGTAACAGTGACCTGCCCCTCTTCTCCAGGGCTTTGCCCATCCTCCTGTTCCATTCTAACCACGACTGTTCTCTCCTTCCTGGTTCAGCATGCTTGCCTCTGGCTCTCCTCAACCATAGGAACCTAGTGAAAAATACGTGCACTCCCGAATGCGGGAAAACCCAGCTGGTTGTACACGCCACAAAGGCAAGATGAGCAGAGAAAGGCTTTTCTTCCGGAGGAAAAGGCAGATGGAACTAGTCTCTCACTCGTATGATGTTGGACTCGTGCTGATAGCCAAAGCAGAAAGAACTGGTCTTCCCTACTAACCCGAGGTTAGCCTAGACAAGGTTGAAAGGGACCTGAGCCAGGCCAGGCCAGATCGCATCCCTGGAGGACTTCCTGTCGGCAGTGCCACAGCAATGTGCACGCTTTTCCAGGAGGGGACGCTGTAGAGAACACACGTGTGCACGTAGAAAGGGGACAGAGAAGGGGGCGGCTGGCGGCGGCCCCTGCCCTGACTGGAGGGCTGGAGAGAGGTGAGCGGACGTCTGAAGAGTAACAAGCAGGTGCCGCCAGCGAGGAGGACTCCACAGAGGATGCGGCCTTGCGGCCTGACAGCATCTGTAAGTCACGCGGAGGGCGTTTCGTTAGCATTAGGATGCTCAGAAGTTTCTCAGAGGGGGAGCTTTCTCTTGGAAGAGGGTCCGAGCTCAAGTCTGAGCTGTGCAGCCCAGGCGCCCGGGGGCAGTGCCATGGTGCGCTAGGGGAACTTGGTCAAACCCAGGGCTGAGCCTGATGTCCTGCAGTTGGACAGCGTCTGTCCTTGTGGTGGTGGCGGGGAGGGGTTTCCCAGGGCGCGCTGTACCTAGCCCTCCGGTGCTCCTTCCGTTCTTGGCCTTACCACCTTGTAGACCAGACTGAATCGCTACAGCTTCCTGTGTGTGCCAAGGAAGGTTGCACCATAAAAGATCACGATTTGTTGAGATTTCGGATTCTTTTACGGAATAGTGATTTTCCCCTCCTCTTCCACAAAGTGGTGGTTTCTCCACAGAAGTGCCAATATGGCAGAATGACAAGAGGAAACAGTATTATGCTGAAACCGTTAATAGGAACCATTGAACTGTTGCAGGACTGCTCTTCTAAACAGAACACAAGTACGTCTTAGGCTTAGTCAGAGCTTTAATGAAGTAGCGCCTTTCTGTATTTCATCGGAGTAACCCTCTCTGTTTTGAGTGCAGTGTTTTTTTACTTTTAGTTCATGCACACATCATGTTGGAGAAATTGTTTACAAAAATGGTTTTGTTTCACTAATGTGCATCACATATTTATGTTTTATTTTTAGGTGATTTTAATGGGTTATTTAGGCATAGCACACTTATGGTGATTTATAATCCCTAATTTTGCCAATTATAAATTTGCTAAATAAGACAGATGACAAACTGCATTAAATTTACTAATAAAACTGCAGAGCAGACCGATGGCAAGTACACAGCCCCCCCCCTTTTGCAGTGCTAACTTGTCTACTGTGTATCTTGAAAATATTGTTGTCCCCTTCCCCCTCTTTTTCCTGAAATAAAGTAAAAATGACACTTATTCCATGTGGCATGAGTTTCAAATATGTTCAGACGTTTCAGAATTTGTTTTTCTGTGGAGCTCCATATTTTTATGCACACCCCCTTCGCATGTCCTCCTGTCTATTGTCTTTTTCTTTCTTTCTTTCTAAAGCCAAACTGACAGAGATCTTCCATAGGCTAGTTTGCTCACCAGATGGCTGCAACCACCAGGGCTGAGCCAGGACAAAGCCAGAAGCCAAGAACTCCATTCGGGTCTGTGGCGTGGGTGCAGGGCCCCAGGTGCGCAAGCCATTATCTGCTGCCGCCCGTGATGCATTTGTGGGAAGTGGGGGATGCAGGTAGCCCAAGCTGGAGCTAGACCCACGGACCCACAGCACCTGCCCCTGTGCCCTGCTGTGTTGAATAGTGAGGGCTTGCCCAAGGATTTTCTCACATGGGTCATTAGCACGCCGAGTGTTTGTGGGAAGACCTCAGAGAGGAAGTGGGTGCTGAGCTCTCCCATCGCCACTTTCCTGAAACTAAAATAGAATAAAGCTGATTTTTCAGGCAGAGAGAAGGTCTTTGCACATCTGGATTGGGGCAGAAAGTCAAGTAGCACAAGGACGGTAGCGGACAAGACAGAAGAACTCACTGAGTTCTGTGCCTGGAGGCTCCCTGGGGCCTGGTGTTTGGAGCCCCGCATGGATCAGCACCTTGCCCACACCTGGAGGCCACCGGGCTGCGTCACCCTCAGGCCACCTCCTCTGCACGCGGGAAACACGTCACTTCTCTGCAGTGGAAACGAAACCGTGCGTCCCTTGGCTGCTTGAGGAGCAGGTTTTTGCTTTTCCGACTTGATGTTTGTTGCGGCTGGCTGGTGACAAGGACCACGGGAAAATCTGGTGGGATTTTCATCGGACTGCCATGTGTTCCTCCCACCCCAACCCTCCCCTCCCAGGGTTGAGACTGAAGGAAGGAACCGAGATCAAATCGGACCAGTAACCAGCTGCCACCTCCGCCGTCCACCTCTTACAGTGTAACAGTCACACGCCATGCCTCACTCCCGAGAAGTGGGCGGTATCTTAAGAAGTAGAATGGGTAACGGATTAAAAATTGAGAGAATTCATTACATTTTCTCACAGGAAAAGAAACGTGCTGGAGTACTAGGGTCTCGGGTGTAGTCCTCCGCTCCCTTGATCGGAAGCTTAGGTTGTTTCCATGTTTGAGTCTCTGGACACTGGCCCACCCCTGCCCCTCCGGCCCCACCCCAGCGTCTCTGGCCATAGCCTAATCCCTCTCGCGACTTGGCTGGTATTGTCTTGTCTACTGTTTCATTTCCTGTCTGGACACAGAGCCCGCATTGTGAGTTGATTGTTTGCTCATTTTCGTGATGATTGATTTATTTGAAAGTTACAGGGAGACAGTGAGAGCTTCCGTCTGCTAGTTCACTCCCCAAATGATCACAAGGGCTGGGACCACAGCCAGGAGCCGGGAGCCGGGAGCGAGGAGCCGGGAGCCGGGAGCGAGGAGCCGGGAGCCGACACTGTTTATGAATTGCACTCTGCTGTGTGCCTCAGGGAACTTGCAGCCATCCTGCCTGCACAGACCAGGCGGTTTGGGTGGGGACGGGGGCAGCGTGGTGCGAGGTCCCCTGTCCACAGCAGGGCCTGGGATCCTCCGTGCTGCCCGGCTGGAGTGTGGGGAACTGACCGCACTGCCTAACCTGAGGCCTGTGCCCAGGTCCCTAGCTTGTTGCTAGGAAATTTGAATTAGATGAAAGGATTTTTTTTTTTTTAAAGCCACTTTTCTGTTTTGGTCTAAGGCGTGAAATTCTGGCATGGTCCCCACCAGAAGTTCTGTGGAGGGAAGTGGACAGAACAATCCTTGGATTTGTTTGGGAGTGAGATGGGCCTGCAAGCATCAGAAACCTGAATTAACTTTTCATGATAAATGATTCTGTAACATGCGTTGAAAGAGTTTGTTTACTTGAGGGAGTCTGAGAGCTCCCATCCAGGTGTTCACTCCCTAAATGCCTGGGAGCAGCTGGGGCCAGGCCGAGGAGGAAGCAGGGAGCCACCAGCCAGCCAGGCCCCAGTGTCAAGCAAAAACTCAGAAACCCAGTAGTCCCCGCTGAGCAATCTTGATGCTAAACATCAAGCTCATTGGTAAGCGTAGATCGACTTGAAATGAGAGGCGCTCTGGGATCCCAGCTGCCCCATCTTGCAGCCGTGGCCCAGCCTGCCATGGAGGTGGAGCCCCCAGTCCTGCCCTCTGATGGCCCTGAGTTCCCCCCGGGAGCCAGCCTTGTTGAGTGAGGGTCCTCTTCTCGTCCTGGGCAGATAATGTTGGTTCAGGAGGGCCTTGGCTACCCGTGTGTGCCTTCCTGGCTTCCAGGACGTTTGCCTCAGTGTTGCATCCTGGGGGCCTAACCGCCCTCCAGGCTCCTCGTCCGGCACATTGCTGAGTAATGTGGACGCTGGTGAACTTCTGGGAAGTCGGTAGATGATGGTCAGCCCGGCGAATTGAGCAACCTCAGTGCTGAGCACAGGGTGAAGGTATGGTGCTCCTGCGGGGAAGTGCAGAGGTGACCAGGGGGTCACTTGGAACAGGGCTTCCTGTGCCCGGGAGGGTCAGGCAGAGCCTCTGGTAACAGTCCATGCAGAAGAGAACAGCACGCGATCACTACTGCAGGAGGCAGCTGCCCGCAAAGCTCCTGCGTGTTTGGACTGTGTGGTTAAAATTGGGGATCGAGAGCAGACCCCTCATTGTGGCCAGGGCCGACTTCCACGCACATGCAGTGAGCTCCAGACCAATGCTGTCTCATCACAGGAGAAGGACCCGGCTGGAGAAGGCTGCAGGCTCATGCTGACAGGTGCTGGTGGTAACTCGGTAACAGAAGTAATTACATGAAGATCAATCGACTGATCAGGCCTTTTGGCGTTCGTCACAGCAATGATGGCAGTAGGTTCTCGCGTGCATTTGCTCCGCGCCAGGCCCTCTGCATGGCTTCCTGGCTTGTAGCAGGGCAGATGTGGGGTACCCGCTGATTAACAAGTGTGTTCCCAGGGATAGCAGTTGCAGGCACCGAGTGGCAGAGCTAGGAAACGTGGGTGGAATACACAGGAACAGAACAGACCTGGCCTGCAGGATGCAGGGGACAGTTGGACCGGTCCATGGGCGTGCAACAGGCACCGGCAATGGCTGACCAGGCTGCGGCCTGGAGGCCGGCTTTCCTGAGATGGAGAGG